ACCCGCGCCTCCAAGCACAGGTCGTCCAGTCCGGAACAAGTCCGGTATCTGCCTTACAGGTCTTCGAGGAATGTAACTGCTTTTCCCTATCCAATCAGAGGCTCTGACGTATGGAAAGCGCGTGACGGGAACGTCTCCCGGCTTGGCGGGCGAAACGTCACTGCATCCAGGAGCGGCAGCCACCCGCACCGCGATGTTCCAGTCTTCCTCGAAGTAACCATTTCATCCAATCCGAAGCCATTCTTCATGGGCGGAACGCGGACAACCAGGCCGACCACGGAGAAGAGATACGTCGACGTCATTTTCGGAGCAGCGGAGGGGAGCCTGCAGAGGGCATCGCCACGTCAAAGGCAACGTTTGGCGTACAGAACCTACCAGGAGGTCGCCCGCCAACTTCCACCCACCGACGTCAAGCGGCACGACGCGGCACCCGACTACGTCATTGGGGAACGCACCACGGCCACGGGAAACGAGAACAGTCGAAGTAGAGCGCCAGACAAGAGAGCAGCGAGCAGTATCGGTTATGCGACTAGCGTTGGAAAAGAGCTTCGTCCCTGGCCACCCGTTAAGGTAGACCTGCTGAAGTCCAGTGTCAGAATGAAGGCGCTTGTAGACAGGGCGAGGAGCCCAGCGTGCAAGGACGGTTTTCCGTGCGCTGAAGATGACGGCAAGAAGACCGACATGTTACAAAAAATTATCGTGCGCAGCGGTCAGCCTTCCGAAGAGGTCGAGTACGAGTATTACTACGTCGACGATGACACGCCGAGTAGCGAGCTGCCGCACGACATGTTTTCGCGCTCAGTCGCAGTGGCATCAGACGCCTCGAGGTCTGCGCAAAGTGGTGGTGTTTTGGAACCAGCGAGCCACAACACATATTCTCGAAGCCGATAACAATGAATCCTATTCGCTACTGTTCTGTAGTAAAACGAACGATTAAAATTTGCAAAAAAAATTGAACCAAGCGTAGTGGTGTGAATACCTACACGAAAGACAGAATAATTCGTGGGCACGTCTACTCGCTCATATGTGTCAACGTGATCAACCTATAGCGTTAAATAGCGTTGCCGAAAGCCATCATGGCGGACGCACATGCGCACTGATGCCGTGCGGTAAACTTGCACGAAAGTCGAGAGTGTCGCGGTGTAGTGTCACTCAGTTCGTAAATATACACAGTGAAAACTACGTTGAAGCTGGGTTCACTGCAATAAACCTCTTTTTTCCTGGAAGCCAATATTCGGGCTAAGACTCTTTCTTTCTTTCTTTCTTTTTTTCTTTCTTTCTTTCTTTCTTTCTCTCTCTCTCTTCATGTCTTTCTCTCTCTCTCTCTCTCTTTATTTCTTTCCTTCTATCTTTCCTTCTTTTCTGCATTGATTACTGATGAGAAGTTCCACAGCGTTTTCATGTTGTCAGATTCAGCCAGCGAAGAGAAAGGCTGGTTGATGAAGTTCAATACGTTCAAGAAAAGAGAAATTGATTGATTGATATGTGGGGTTTAACGTCCCAAAAGCACCATATGATTTTGAGAGACGCCGTAGTGGAGGGCTCCGGAAATTTCGACCACCTGCAAGGGGTTCTTTAACGTGCGCCCAAATCTGAGCACACGGGCCTACAGCATTTTCGCCTCCATCGGAAATGCAGCCGCCGAATCCGGGATTTGATCCCGCGACGTGCGGGTCGGCTGCCGAGTACCTTAGCCACTAGAACACCGCGGTGGGGCCAAGAAAAAAGAAAGAAAAAGAATGAGGACTAGAAGAAAATACAAGTGAAAAAATTTGAGCAAGAATTTTTTTTTTACGGGGAAGAGGTAGAAATTCACCCACCCGTTATGTATGTTCGTGCGTGTGTTCGTATGTTATACGCACATTCAAAAGAATTTTCGGGTGGGCGGACGAGGGAGGGTTAGGCCTCGTGACTTAGGTTGAACTGTGAATAGTAATTAGAAAGCAGTAAATAGAATAGTCTAGACGGTAGAACATTAGAATGCGGATAGAGCCGTAATTGGTAAATGGAAAGTATGATTCAGTCGTATGAATGAACTGACTTTTCGAAATACCAAAAAACACCCCTTCTACTGCAAGAACACGCTCGGTATATAGGCGTGCAAACGAGCGCTAAGAAAAAAAAAAAAGCAGCTGGTGGCACATTCGCGCACCTACGTACATTCAGTGATGCTACAGATGGTGGGGGCATCTGTTACGATCGGTATTAATCTTGGTACAAGTGGATCGCAATGCGTTGTCAGAGATATTGCGACCTGGCATATAGCAAATTTCAAAAAGCACTGTTAAATGCAAAGAGGAATTTAAGGTCTCGTTTTTAATTTGATAGAAACACACAAAAAATGACGTATACAAAACTTACAATTAAGCTAACAAAAGTACTGTTGTTCGTTTCGTCAATAATATTTGGGTTTTTCTTTTATTTTTTATACGTTATTTGCAGTGTTTTGTTGTACTTATGATTGTTAAAATTTGTTTTTTAGTCTGTATTCCGTTTATTTGTATAACTTATTCCACGTTGCTGCATTTTACTTGTGCATATTTATCACATTTTCTGACAGGAGGTCCCCCTTCAGCCAAGTGCTCTGGGACCTCCTTCTATATGTTTATGTAAGCATGTATGTTTTGTACGAAAGTAAAAATAAATAAACTGAAACTGAAATATGATACGAATGTGAAGAAATCAAAATAGAGCAAAAGGCTACTTGCCGCCGGCAGCTAAGATGAACATGCACACTTCGAATTTACAGGTTCGGCGTTGTCTTTTCGTCGACTTTAGTTTATTCACACTATAGTATCAAAATTACTACAAAATAACATCCTCCGTGCATTCTTTGCCTTGATTGGCTGCTGGTTATAACTAACCTGGTCAAAGCCAGTGTACACCAAAATACAAATATTGCCCCCACCTTCCCGTAGAGAATGCGCCGGGAGCAAGCGGCGTAGTTATTTTAATGCAACGAATTAACGATGAGGCGAGGATTCATACCCGCCGGTAACCATCATTTATGTACACATTCATCAGCCCGCCGAGCTCCCGCGATGCGAGCGCCCTCACATGCCAGAGCGCGCTCACCCTCTCCACTGACTCTTGCCCACTCTCACCTACTCCTCCCGCAGCACCAGCTCCGGTTGCTAGGGGCGAGGGCAAGCGCGCCAGGCCCCAGCTGTTGTTATGGGAGAGGGACTGAGAGCGCGGAGATAACACCAGCCGTTGCGTACATGTACAAGACTCATGTACATTGAGATTGGGAACAAGGTCCCCGTACACCATGCCGTACACAGCCAACCAGTTTGCACCCTTAAGGGTGCTTTGGTGTGTACGGTCTCTACTAACAGCTTACAGTAAGGGCGTTTTGACAAACCAAAACATCTTTGTCGTAGGGCGTTAGCTATAGACACGGAAAGCACCCTTGACTGGCTTGCTCTGTACGGGAAACGAAATGTCTTGTATTTTTGATTGATGATTGATTGATTGATACGTGGGGTTTAACGTCCCAAAACCACCATTCGATTATGAGAGACGCCGTAGTGGAGGACTCCGGAAGTTTTGACCACCTGGGGTTCTTTAACATGCACCCAAATCTGAGTACACGGGCCTACAACATTCCCGCCTCCATCGGAAATGCAGCCGCCACAGCCGGGATTTGATCCTGCGACCTGCGGGTCAGCAGCTGAGTACCTTAGCCACTAGATCACCGTGGCGGGGCAATGTCTTGTATTTTAAAGTTCATTTTGTGTTTGGTCAGCGTGTTTTTGTTACATTGGACGATGAGCATTCTCGACAAGGCGAGTCAAACTTCTTGATTTTGAGAAAAAGGCTATGAAATCAGCGACGTCGCAGAGATATTCAGGAGCCCGAAAAAATGCAAAAATTGCAACTATCCATTTCTCTTGAGTTTTCTCTGTCACTTCCTGTTATAAACCTGGAATAACAAAACGATCCGAAAATGCAGTTCTGAGTAATTATTCTATGAGACCAAATCAACGTACTAGCTGTTTCACTTCGGCGACAATAGTGTGTAGTTGTATTGTCGTTGCGTTATCCATCAAACTCGGGAGCTCTAAAGCAATAGTTGTCGACGGAATCACCATATGCGAGACGCGAAGCAGTCAGCTTATACTAGCGCAGACATACATTCATCGGGGCAAAGTCTGCGCCCGGCAACAGCGCGGGAACGACGTAGTACCTGGGAACAGCAACGTACACCTAATACCACGCATGCGTTCGTAACTTGAGCGCTGTGCGTCGGCGCGCGCTCAAGGACAAAAAAAAAAAAAAAAGGAAGAAGAAGAACGGAAAGACCGCTTCTGGGAGTGTAGTGTTGGCACGAAAGGCCCTACAACATCGGTTGGTCGAGTCGGAAAGAAAGTAAGCTTCGCAAGGAATGCAAAAATAAAATTGAAGCGGTGGCGTGCGTCTTTCACAGCGCGGCCTGGCTTAGGTACCCCGTTTTGCGAAAGTAAAGGTGGGTTGAAGTAAGGAATTTTGGGCACCTCTAGACAAACCGTGCTACAGAAAGGGAACCGGTTCCATTGCCTCGGTATGATCGCCTGATTCTTTTTGTGCTCCGACGCATGCGTCATTTTGAACATATCACGCAGGCAAGCAAGCTTATGTCATGATCGCCGCAACATTACTAGGTCCCCTAGCATTACGACAAGATGTGGCTGTAGTAAACCACCACTATAAGGGACGCAGCGTTCGGCACTTAATTCTTTACTGACCGTACGATGTGCCAGAATAAAAATATTTCAACGACTATCTCTTTTTTCTTCGCGTGTGAGACGATTGGCTGTCTATGCCCGTTATGATGGCGCTGTGTGCAGTATTTTTCGCCGGATAAAGACCGTTGGGCGCGTCGCAGTCTGCTAACAATGTGCAGATTGTTGGAACATGGCGGACGTACGTCCACCGTGACTACGGGGGCTTTATCGTCAAACTGCGTACTGAAGTGCTTCAAAATCGCCACATCCGAGGCAAGTGCCGACCGCTACAGAACGAGCTCTGTGAGGTCCTCCTGGAATGTCTTCTCGTTTCGTGCCCGTGTGATCGGTATTTACTTCCCTCTGGAAAACGCAACGTCGGAGCGCAGGTAATCTGGGCGCCCCATTTTCGCCCGGAGACGCAGCTGACGGACGCTGCACTTGGTGTCATAGCTTGCCACGCACACCACGTATGCAAGAGGCTCAGTTTTTTACGCCGTTGCCCGAATGCGCTATTCGATTCGTATCTCGTTTATCGCGACTTCGTGCTGTTGCCAGATCACAACGTCGAGGCCCCTTTGTGATGACAGCGGAACCAGTTTTAGAGGAAACTCATTCTCCCCTCTTGATCTCGGAGCGAACGAATCTCGCGCGTTATCTCCGATTGCTAGTATAAGAGATAGCTTTGTCTCATTGCCGATTTCAGACCGAGCCGCTGCATTCGGTCGATGTTCGTTAGCCTAGAGGCCGCGAAGAAAAAAAAATATAAACAAAGCTCTACAAACATTTACAAAACGTGACTTGTTAAGCAGCATATGTCTTTGTATTTTAATGGGCGTTGACGACGTCATATTGCTTGCATGTGCGGCGGTGCACAGCTGATGACCCAAGGATGTGACAGCTAAGGATAAACACCCGTTGACTTTCCTGTGCAGCCGTCGTGGTTGGTGGCAAAAACGGTAGAGTACCCTTCTGTTTTTCTCTTACCTGCTGGTCGCGTACTTTTCCTCGCTGTTGTGCTCAGAATGACGGCATTCACAACGAGTAAGAGCGTTCGCGCGTTTGCTAGTCGCGCCATTAACCATTGCTTGAACTGAAAGGCGTGAATTACTGCTTCATAACGCAGGATTGGAGCTAAACTTGCCGTCAAATTTCACAGCATCGTTTCTGCTTTGTTCAGGTCAATATAATTTTCAGTTGAATTGGTGACATTCGTCGGGAGGGTGCGGCGGCGGTTATTCTTCCACTAAAGATAATCCGGGGTCAATGTTGGCTTTTAAATATTTCCAGCCCACTCCTCAACATGGAAACCATGTCCGAGCGAGAGATGTGCCTCGAGATTGAACGGGACCTGAACCGCATCCTGCTGGCTTCCACCAGTCGGAACCAGCCGCCGCCAGATACCATGCAACAGTATGACAGACTGCCACCTTCGTTGCTCTGCCAGCCCGAATCGCCCATTCAGCCTTTGATGCAGCCTCACCCCCCGCGGGGCTTGCCATCAGTGAACCCGCCACCTGTAGTCCCATTTACATTCACTGCGTGCAACACAGCTCGCGACGAAGTCGATTGCCGGCAGAGATCGGCACGAATCCCGCCGAAAGCAGGGAAACGTGAGCGCCGGAAAAATTTATCCGCCAAAAAGAAGGACCTCAGGCTGGGCGAACCGGATGTCAGTGTGCTCCCACCTGTGCAAGGTGCTGAGGTGGTTCCAGTGTCGATGGACTCTGCAAATTCAAAAGACTGCAGCGCTGAAGTAAACAGCGCCATGCGGGGTGAAACTAACGCAGGCACTGCATCGGTGGTTGAAGGGTGTGCATTGCACAAGGCCAAGCCTGTCCCCACCGGACGCAGATTTCCAGGGCCGAAGAACAGCAAGGGTTCGTGGAACCAGTACAAGGAAGTATTGTGGAATGCCCCTGCTTGGCCTGGTGTAAATAATCCCAAGGAATTTCTGTTCCTGCAAGATCTTGAGAGGCAACTGCTTCAGTGTGCACCTCATTTTCAGGATGATCATCTCCAAAATGCACAGGCAAAGCAATTTGGTGAGACATTTTACTTTCGTTAGCTTAGTCATGTATTGGGGTTTACTAGCAACGTATATAGTACATAATATTAACGAAATACTTGGCCCGAGTTTCTTTCACCATAATACCTGATTCAGACTGCTCATCATGGCTTTGGGAACTATTATGATAACAAGGTTTTTTTCGTCAGTTTACCCTCGTGAATGCCATGTTAGTAGCACTGGCTGATGCTGCTGACATTGGCAACGTCAAATTTTTGGAGAGAGAGAAAAGAGGCTCTCCCATAATGGATACCAATTCTGTGCCAGTGGTGTGATAGAGCGTGTGGCAGCAGTGTAAATTGAGCCTAAAGCCCTGTGCTTTGCATTATGGCAAGCCGGTAAATTGCAAAGTACAGCTGTTGTGCCAAGACCAACTTGCATTACAATTCTCTCGTATTAGTAATGAAACTGACAATGCTTGTTTGTGTTTTCTTGAAGCTTCCTAGTCAAAACAAAAATTGATTTTAACTTGTAGGCTTCGGGCTAAAAACTGCTAATGTGCGCATTCATAATTATGGATCAGTCAAAACGTGTGCGTGCGTGTTAACTATTCTAGAGTATCAATATCAATGGAGCACGCTGAGAGAAAGGGCTTGCTGTTGAAGTACGTAGTTCGGACGGTATGACTCGGTGAAAGTGCCCGTTACCTATTACCTTCTTGGAAGTGTACCGTGGAACTCCAGAGCCACTGTGCCTTCGAGGTCGTGTGCTTGGGAGGCATGCCATCGTGTTCCTTAGAACTCGTCATTTGTGTAGTTTTCAGAGGTTTAACCAGAGGCAGGTGTCCTCACTCTTTCACTGGATGTAATGAATTGTATTATAGTTTTGAGCGTCTTATGTTAGAATTGGCATTAGCTTTGCATGTCATGTCCAAGTGCTATTTCGATATGACGTGCAATGCCAATGCCTATTCTAACATAGGAAGCTCGGAACTATAATGAAATTCGTTAAATCCAGTGAATGACAAAAGAGTGTGTGAACATCTACCCCTGGCTAATTCTCTTAAAACTACACAAATGATGAGTTCTAGGGAATACGATGGCATGCATCCCTAGCCCTGCGTTTTGTACCCTGTGGCTCGTGCAACACAGCTCTTGACATTGTTTATGCATCCTGTATCAGTGCTTGGTCTTTCGTACATTAAGCATCATTGCAGAAAAGGAAAAAAGGCAGAAGCCTCATTTACAGAAACAATGTTTAAGGGTTGCACCATGATGGCCTTGACATGATGAAATTTCTCGTGAGTTGTGAAGTGGTAAATGAAGGGTACGGTGAACTCTCCAGCTACCCGAATTCTAGGTTGGCTGCATTATTGGATTGTCGGCTCCTAGGCACTGTGATTCCTATTAACAGCAGAGCAGTATCTAGGCAATACTGGCGTTCTTCTTCCAAGTGCAAGGTAACGAGTTTGATTCCCAGCAGTGGCAGGACTACTGTGATGAAGGTTGAATCTAACACGGCACTTACACAATCTGCATCAGGAGCGATACCGACATTTCCTGACACTGCGCAGCTACCGGATCTGTGAAATGTACTCCATGTGCTGGCCTACAGATCCGACCTAGTGTTGTACTCATTGGGTGAAGGCTAAGAGCGAGTTGAAGTGCAGCCTTTTTGCCAAACTCCAACTTTTTCACCTTGTGTGTACCAAGACCAAGAGACAGGATACAGTAATTCCAGCTTGTTAAAAGTAATTCTGCATTTCTTACTGTGGTCTCTTTATAAGGCCCTTTGAATTTTCTGAATGCCAAGATTTGCGATATATGAAAACAATTGTATGAACATTGTATAGCAGTAGTCTTGCTTACAGACAATCTTAAGTACTTTTACCGCATCTGTGTCTAGTACTTACCTGGCCATTACAGTGCTGCCGCAAGATGCGCTTAAAGTGCTAAACTTTGCAGGTCCCGTACCTTCACACCGCAATGGTGGTCGTCACGACAGCTCCAATTTGTTTGAAGAGAGGCTGCTGGTTTTCAAACAGCACAGGGTTCTTCTTTTGAAAAAGGTGACTGTGGTCTCCGTGAATGTCTTTTTTCCCGTTACTGTGTTTTGGAGTGCCGTAAGCCTAATAAAGAGACCCCGTAGACCACTTTGGCTCATATCTATGACAATTTTAAGTCTCCCACGCTTGTTCTTGAATACTGTAGTTGAATATTGGTGCAGAAGTAAAAAAAAAAAGTGTTCCAGTTTTTATTAGACTGTATAACCTTTGGAGACGTAGGTTACTAAGGTGGCACAGTAGTGATTGTTTAAATGAAAACAATCCCCCTTCCCTCTTAGACTAAAAGTCCGAGCTTGTGTGTTAATACTTAAGCATTGTGTCCACAACAGTCTTATGAGTGTGTTTTTTATCACGTGCCAATGTAACATGGCAAACTGCCTGATATAAAAACTAGCTAAGAAAAGTTTATCACCACAATTTGTGGGTTACTTCCATTCTGTGAGCAATACTGGTGTTCCTCTTTTGTAGTAGTCGGTGCGGTGCTTCTCGTCTAGCCTATAGTCTCCATACATTATACTCTTTTGCAATGCCCACCACTGTGAAGTCGTATTGCTGACGTCGGTTCTGTCTCGCGTTTCTGCTTTCCAGAGGTCCCAGCGTTTCCCAAAGGCGCAATTCTACTGTCACCTCTGTCATCGGCACATCGACGACATGTGGTACGTTGACAAGCACTTGGAACAGGAGCAACATGCAAGCAAGAAGCTTGTGAGTACTGTTGCTTGAGGGCCCGCTTCTCTGTGTTGTTTATTTTCCCCTCAATTGCACCGTCATGACTCGTGTCCAGGTGAACGACTTGCGGTTGGCCGTCAAGAACCTTCCCTATCCGGTCGACATTCAGTGTGACGCGATTGGTGCTATGATCGAGAAGGTGGCGCAGGAGCACAGTTTGACTGTGGAGGAGGTTGAACTGCGGAAGAGAGTAGTCGCTGACCTGGAAACGTTCATCAAGGCAACATTACCGGGTGAGAAGGGAATTTCTTGTCGCTTGAACATGCCTGTTTGTACCGTTCAGGGCATTCTAACACAAAAGTTGGTGCAAATTCTGTTGGTGCTTAAATAAATTACTCGTACTGTTGAACTGTGACATTTCCTGATAATACAGTGAAATTTTTCTTGTTTCTTTCTTGATAACATAGTAACATGCCCGAAGTATGGCATCCACAATGTTCACATTTTCAGCCTAGCATGTCTTTGAACGTAATCCTTAGGAATGTACTAAGAAGTGTTCATGCTCGTGAGTTGAAAATTAATAGCAAACATTTCATTGGTCAAAAGACATGTACACTTGGCACATCCCACCCATCTGCTGTTCTTATGTTTTTACTGGATGAGCCTAAAATTAACGGTGAATTGTTTCAATCATTGTTTCTGTGACATCGTGTATTTAAGGATTCTGGAAATGTCGTCTAAAATGAGAAGGTTTAAGGCTGCAGCTAGAGTAAATAATTTAATTTAGGCAAAACATCTTGTACCACAAATGCCTTGGTTGAATAAGGGTTACCATCTCGCCAAACTGGGCTTTTCCACTTATACATTGAGCTTTCAGTACCCCCCCCCCCCCTTTCCATTTTTTTTGTATTCATGCTTAGGAAGTTGAGGGTCCGCTGCACTCTGGAAAAGCCATTGTGTTCCCCAAGACCAGTAAACTTGAGAACTCCTGCCTTATAAAGGATAAACCACTTTGCACGTTATGCTTAGATTGGTTTGTCTACGAGTCGAAAAACCCACACTAATGCCTCAATGGGTTTATAAAAAAAATCGGAACCATTTAAATATTCCTTAACCAGTGGTCATGTGTGACAGTAGGCTGCAAAGAAGTGTGTGTAGGCACCTCGATGTAGTTTACCGAGTAACTAAAACGTGCTACCAACGTTAAAATGCAGATGTCAAGTTGAGCTTGTACGGTTCGTCAGCCAATGGGTTTGGCTTGAATACAAGCAATGTCAACATTGACTTGAATCCGCTTGGGAGAGGAGACTGTGCCCAGCTCTTCGTTGGAACGGGTGACCTCCTTCAGGAGTGCCGTAAGCACGTTTTCTTTTGTCTTCAATCATTGTTCTTTGAGTGTAGCACAATAATAGGATGTTTCGGTAGCAATGTAATCGTCAATGCAGTTCCAATTTAAAGCTTTCTTCAACCATAATGTACTGCATTTGGAGTAGTTGCAATCTAGATTATCCATTGTGTGAGCTGTTGGAATCTTGCAAAAAAAAAAAAAAAAAAGAGTGGCAATTTGTTCGGTGATTGGGCAGGCACCGTGACTTTGCTCAGCATGACTGTGTAAACAGATGCTTGAGAAAACCACAGACACAGAACGACTAAAGATACTGCGAGGTATCAATTCATGCTTTGGAATTAAAGTTGCTTTAAACAGTACTCGCTTGAAGGTGCTAAACAGTAATGTCTGTAATGTTGCTTGCCGAGTTCACTGGTACACTGCCAAATTCAGCTGTAATTTCTGTGCTCATAGGTCCCTTCCTGAAGCTCGCAATCGTTTTACGGCATATCCAGACTTTATTGCCCTGCCTAATGAGGGTGCTTAGTCAGGGGTTATTGAAAGTGTTGTCGCGGGCTATAAACCTACTTTCATAGACTGCAGGGTGTCACCCAAGATGTACATGAGAATTGATGCTCTAGCGGCTCGAAATTCACTGTGGCACGTATCTGTCTCTGTAGCCAAGTTTGCCCAAGTGACAAAGGACTACTTGTCCAAGGTGCCACGGATACGCTTCAAGGAGGTCGACAGCGAGCTCTCTTGTGAGATCAGCCTCAACAACTCCCACTCGCAGAAGACTTCAAGGCTCCTCGACGACTATGCCTCGCTCGACAGGAGGGTTAAAATTCTGGGAGTCGCTTTTCGGCTGTGGGCCAAGGTGATTGAGAGGATTTGCTCTCATCTTTGCAAATCAGTTTCTTGTCAAACAAACTTTGCTCAAATTTGCCTCGTGTAGGTTGTCATTGTTGGTTATCTTGAAGTGGGCAAGCTGTATTTCGATCCTCGGCAATTCCTGCATTATTGGGCTCGGAGGAATCGTTCTTCCACTTCAAGGCATCTCTAACGCCTTACGTCACGAACTTCCAATATAGTATTTTTGAAAGAACATAAATGCATTAAAGACAGTATTGTAGAAAGCTGGCTTGTGTACACTGCTTACAGCCAAGTTTGCTAGCGAAGTCATGATAAGAAATGGTGTTACGACGTCGTAGCATCCTCTATGCGTGAACAAAGGGGGTAGGTGCGTGGACCTGCTTGGGTTGTATTTGGGAAGAAATATTGGGACATCTTGCCACAGAAAACTTTTAACTAGTCTACTGCAGCGGGTATGCAAAATGTGCGAACGGTTGAGCTCATCTCCGAGAAGTAGAGGGTTGAGCAGGTGCTGCGATGAGCTTGCTACGATACACTTAGGAATCTGCGTGGGCGTTGGTGAAATGCTATTACTGCCACGGTAATAGCATTGCATTATGGAGGTGGTGTGCACGACGAGGATGTCTTACAAGAGTACCAATACTGATATAGATGAGGAACACATAGAACATTCTGTACACAGATTGATGTGTGCCTAGTGAAATGTGCTTATAGACCTTTAGGCGAGCTCGAATAATTGTCTCCTCACGACTCGCGGAGCAGAGCAGCGGTGCACCGTGTCAAGGCGGCTGGGCGGGGCAAGTACGGGTGCCCGCAGTGGTGTCGCCACTCGTGCACAGCTGGCAGGAGCTGAACAGAACTGTGTCTGGGCTTGCAAAGCAGCTTCAAGGCCATGTCGTATACATGCCAAGTCTCCCAGATTACCCGCGGGACTCTCGGATTTTGAACATTTCTCCCGGTTTTACTGGTCATGGGAAAATCTCCCGGAAATCTAGTTTTGCTTCACGCATCCAGTGCTTTGTCTGGCCCCTTTAGCAAAGTTGTCTGGCCACGTAGTAAAAAGGATCCTTCTTTTTTTTTTTAACGATGGCAGCAAGGATCAACTCGGTTCAATGTACGTTTTCGAGATGCAAAAATAGCGCCAGAACATGCGGCCTGCGAAGTAGAAGCAGCGAAATTGCGCATGGCTGTGCAGTTTTTGAAGGTCACGCACATTAACGAAAAAAAAAAGAAAACTTCATAGTAGTAGAGGGAGGGCAGTGACCCCCGTGGTATGGTTGATGATTTTGCTGGCTGTTTATTGTGCCAGCATTCCAGGAAGTGATGGTGGCGTATCTTGAATTGCTGGTGCCGCAGGGGGCGCGAGAGAGAAAAGAAAAGATTGGCCTCGTATATGCATGTTACTCCGCAAATGTCGTCGAAAGACTATAGTCTTGCATCTGGAGAGAGTGAACAAAACGTTTATTTGATGTTCTGCGCAAGAAAATTAATGAATGGTATTCTAGAGGCGCTGTATTAGAGTGCCTCGAGCATGCAGTGGAGGCGAACGAGCGCATCAAGTCACGTCACACGTGAGGCATGAGCACTATCTGGCAGTTATCCGGGAAAACGGGGTGTGGGCTGTCCGCGCCCATCTCGTAGGTGATAAGGTGTAGAACACAAGGCAACGGGTAGGTGCCACCACCGTGTCGTCTTAGCAAAGCGTTGGAAACACTTGCCATTTCGTGCAAGCGTTGCATGGCCAGCGCACTGTTATAAAGGCTATCCTTAAAATTACTTATGATTCCTTTTGTAGTTGAAACTACACATACATAATATTGACGATTCCTTTTTCTAGTTGAAACTACACATAATAATATTGACGTGCTGTTATTATGCCTCAGATATGTGCAATAATTGCTTTTTAATTGACAATCGCACAAGTATGAATGCTGAACCTTGAGCAATATTGGTGGGCGCTGCGAATGGGGTCGGCCGTTTGTAATATCGTTTGGTCACGTTAATCCCATTTGGGGTACCATTAAGGTTGGACAGACAGAAATGTACAGACAGACAGACAAAAATTTTTGTGCCGAAGGTTTTTGAAAGACTGGTCTTTAAAAAGGAGAGTAAGAAGGAAGCAAGCGCCTCCGACAGAAGCGCTTGCTTGATGTGACGGGGCTGATCGAGCGAGTGTTTACAAATAGATGCTTGTATGGAAGAATGCGCAGCCCTCTTTGTGGCTGTTTCAATCTACGGACGCACCCGCGTCCTTAGACATGCAAACGGTGGGGGTGTGGCTGTTAACCTTGCGAGTGAAGGGGAGCGCATAATAGGGAGTGGCGCGGTGCCTCCGGCGGATGGGGAGGGGGAGGCGACGCTGCGACTGACCTTCACTCTCCCCTACCTGTACCTGGAAGGGGAACTGCGCATGCTTATGCTCACACCTCACCACACACTTTCTGTACCCTTCCTTTATGCACCCCTTTTCCCTTTTTCCTCAAGGAGCTAAGCTGAACCATGGTTCTGAAAGGGTTCATCGAACATAATGGCAGGGCTTTTTCAAGCCGCTCGTCACGATTAACCAGCGCTTCTTCCTTTCGCAATTCAGAACCTTCTTTTAAATTTTTTCTCTTTTTATAATCTGACGGTTTTCTCCTCTCACTGTCTTTTTTATCCCCATCCCCCTTATCGAGCGCTCCTACCCCATGTCCTTACCTTTCCTCCAACATTCTTGTTTTCTTTTCTGTTTTTTGTTTTTGCTTTTTTGGTTTACCCAACTGCAAAGGTTGCCGAAAAGAGTGCCTGTTTTTTTTCTTTCACGTCTGGGTCACGGGCGAATGCCAAGCTGGGGGAAGGCGAGTAGTCGGCAGTACTGTACTATAGTCCCTTGCCTGACGAAATAACTCGCAAACAAGCGATGACAGGCCTCACACACGGAGTGATGTTATCGGACGTGCCCTTCGCACGACGGTGACCGCTGGGTCGTTTCATCTCTGCTTTAGCTGCGTTCGTCCCTAGCTCTAGGGCGCTTTTACAAGCCCGTAAAACAGACGATGCACAAGCGATGTTATCGGTTTCGACTCTGTACAAATCAGCGGCGAACCGCGAAATTCCACTGACAGTGTTCATATAATTGCTCTCGCAGTACCCCCCCCCCCCCCCACCCGCGGTTGACATTTTGTATACTCCCCTCCCACAGGCGAGACCCCGTCCCTTCGGGTTAAGCAAATCTCCCGGATTGCGTTTCTCCAAACTTGGCTGGTAGGTATGTGTGGCGGCACCACAAGTTGCTAAGCAATATGCCCCACCGCGGTGGTATAGTGGCTAAGGTGCTCTGCTGCTGACCCGCAGGTCGCGGGATCAAATCTCAGCGGCAGCGGCTGCATTTTGGATTGAGGTGAAAATGCTGTAGGCCCGTGTACTTAGATTTAGGTGCACGGTAAAGAATCCCAGGTGGTCACAATTTCCGTAGCCTTCCACTGCAGCGTCTCTTATAATCGTATGATGGTTTTGGGGTGTTAAACTCCACGTATCAATCAATAATGTCGATGCTTTGCAAAGTTTTGTTTTTGACTGGTGGACCAACTCTCAGTTTAAACAGGTTCATAACACTTGTGTGCTTACTATAGTGTATATTGATTAATTAGTTATAGATAAAATTAGTCCAGGGCGTTCAACAGCAGCCCTTATAGCATCGACGATCGGGTGAGTTGGTACAGATACAAGGTGTTTGAATTGCACAAAAAAGCAGACGAAAAGACAAATGATCACACTACTACAACTTCGGAATCACACGGTGCTTGTGTTCATGTGATCATTTGTCTTTTTGTCTGCTTTGTTGCGCCGTTCATAATTTTTACAGCCCGAATTGTTTTTTTTTATGTCAAGGCAGAAATCTAATTAACAACTGAACAAGCAAAATTTTTTTGGTGGGTGTGAATTGTACAGGTTTTGCCTCGTATCTTTTCAGCACTGCGGCTTGGACCAGCAAGATCGGGGTACACTGCCACCGCACGCGTTTGCCATCATGACGGTGTTTTTTCTGCAACAATGCAAGCCTGCTGTGCTACCCGTTCTGCATGAGGTTTGTAATACTTCAGTCAGTCTTGGTGCCCTCTTGATTACTGCCTTTCTCTTTGCTTGCAATCTGCTAGCTCTTAATAAACTATGCAACTGAAGCATAGGTAAAAAAATGGCTTTGTTAGTACGGCAGTAACTTGTTCACCTGTGAACAAGAATGAATGCTAGCAGCTCAAGATAATGTAGCGAAATCAATAACGGGACTGGTTGGCCTACTATCAAGTCGATGTTAGGTAGGTAGTATGTTTATTTACAGAAAGGCAGAGAGGTCGGCCTGAGCGATAGTTTGCTCTAGCCTGCTACTCTACACTGGGGGAAGGGAAAGGGGAAAAGAAAGATTAATGGATGACGATGGTGAGATAGAGAGGTGAGTATGTAGTGTTCTTTCTAGCTGAGACACATTTTATAGCCGCGCACATAGTCCAGTTGTTTCTAAAAAGGTAATAACTGCTCTTGTGACCACAGTTGCACTGTTGGTGTCTGGCCAAGGGCCCAACATGGTCTCATCAGTTAATGACCTACTGCGATATTGTTCAGTAGAAGAAATCAGTGTTTGTCGTTCACGTGCGTATGCTGGGCAAACACAAAATATGTCGCGCTCGTGTGTGTCCTACCTGTGCTTCAGTGTGTCTTTTATTTGTGTGTTTAATTCCAGTGCGGTGTGAGTCTCAACAAAATATGTGCTCAAGTGTTTCTGGCACATCACAGTGTTCACAATTAGGACCGGTGTCACTGCGAGCGATGATATGTGCGTAACGTCTAGTGTACGCTACACCAAGACGAATGCGGTGGATCATACTTGTGAGTTGCCTTTTCAATTTGGGAGGCATGCGGAACCTCATTTCCGGGTCCCATTTGTGAAGTCGCTGGTGTCGCCGTTCCGGTTTGGTCCAGTGCTGAAGTGTGTAGCTGCGCATCACGCAGCGAAGCAGGGCGTTTGTGTCAGCTCGTGAAAACGCAATGCGTACTTCAGGGGCACTGCTTAAGGCATTTTTAGCTTGAGCGTCTGCCTCTTCGTTTCCCATCACGCCGCAATGAGCGGGAATCCACTGGAAAGTTATAAGTCGATGTTGATTATTGAAATAGTGGTTCAGAAACCTCATGGTGTTACTTTTGTGCCAAGGAAGGGCCTATTTTAAAATAAAATTGCGTTTTAGTGGTCCGCATCGGGTTAGCACACTTCAAATTACCCGCCTCAAGAAGTGGACCGACTCGCGTCGCTGTTGCCGTGCATAGCGTTGCCCTGCTTTACTGCGCTAGTAGCAGCAGACCGATATTAGCGGAAGCTACTGCAGCTACTACGGCCATTGATGAATTTCCCGCCATTGGCTCCGAGGCTGCAGACGTTTTTTGGTTCAACTGCGCCTCGCTAGATGGCACCACCCGTCCAATGTAACTACGCGAAAATTGAATTTTTGAACCACTTATGCCATTCCTCATAGTAACGTACGACGATTCTTTTTTCCATGAATCGAACATAAATGAACAAGCAGCATTTTATTGCGTCTCTTGATGCACGGAAGGTTCTTCATTTAGTGCAGCTATATCGATTACTAGTGAATAATTGTAGGCAGTTGGTCTGATGTCATCGGGATCATTTTGAGAATGTCCTACTGCAGCGCATGGGTTCTTGTGCAGTTACCTTAATTTCTCTATAAGTAGGGCACTGTTGTTCATGATATTATCGTTTTAGATATTGTGATTCATTGAGCTTTCACTCTGTCGTAAATTTTTATTTGACTTTAGTGTCGCCCTTTAAGGGGAGACGCTCCTCGAAAAAGTTTTTTTTTTATTTCTAGTAATAGAGACTTTAAAAGTTTGTTATTAGTATAGTTTTTTATGCAGATTTCAAATATGCAATCATTTTTTGTGTAGCTGCTATAATTATTGAGTTATGCCATAAACAATAGCAAAAAGTTACATTTTTCGAGGGCACTCTTTCATGTACTAAACTTTCAGTAAAAGCGCTGTGTCTGATCTTATTTGACTCTTGGTAGATTGAAAAGTGCAAATATCTATATAGATATGTTACAGAAATATTGGAACCAAGAAAAAAAAATTGTATTGAATGACTTATTATTTTCAATCTCCCTTGAAACAATAAGCTAATATTTTCACAACTAATGCTGGTAGGCATTGCAATTTAGAGTAGATATTTGCATTCTGCATGTGTTAAAGAATATGTGTGCCAAGTTTCGTTACTATACAATGAATATGTTTCTAAAAGGCTGCCCGGAAAACGTGAAACTGTCAGAAAAAATGAAAATGAGAAAAAAAAGTTTGAAAGTTCGCAAAGTTGGCATTTATTAGGAAATCATTCTTTTTGCATCAAATTGGGGCACAATGAAAAGTACCTTGCCTTGAATGCACTGCAAGTGTCTAGAAGTCCCCTGCACCATAGCTTGGTCCTTCACGGCTCTTGCGATCAGTGTCCTCAACACGAGCTCTCTTCGCTGTGTTGCGACGGTGTGCCCTCGCTTCTGCAGTTTGCTTCAGGTTCATCTTCCTGATGCGCATGACGTCACAGTGGTCACCATGTGTGGCCAGATCTTGTGAGGGGAGAATTCCAATGCCTTCGAGCACTTCTTCAAAGCCCTTTTGGCCTTTGTTGTACCAGAGTACAGCAAGAGCGGTGGCTGTCTTCACAGTTGTTCTGGAGGCGAACTTTGTTTTTGGACATAGCAGCCATATCTTGCTGTTCAGCGATTCGGCTGCATTCTGTGTCTTGCCATGAAGGCACCGAATAAGGAGTTTCTCCTCTGTAAGGCGCTTGTAGATAGGCATAATTACCAATCCTTGAGCCTTCGTCAGCAGTGGGGTGTGGCGTGGTGCAGGCTCCCCCAGTGCTTCCGCACGCTTGTGCTTGCACCACGAATTTGGTCCCGCGGGGCAAAAGTTGTGGCTACTGGTACCATCACTGGAGCAGCAATGAAAATACGATGCCCATATGGCAGTGTACATATTTCGGACACTGTCCTTGTTGCTCGTGATGGCGATCTTGTAATATGTTTGTAGTTTTATTATTGTCGCATCTTTCAGTTTTTCGCCTCGTGGCAGTGGCGTTGCCAATTTCCGTAGGGCAGTTCCCAAGCGCTTTGCAACGTGGTTCGTGCACTCTTCTTTGTCAATGGGGGTGTCACAATATACATTTGCCTCGCAGACTGCAGTGTAGGCCTTGCTGTCACCATCACTTAGGAAGCTGGTGAATCGCAGTGGAGTTTCATAAGACAAGGTCCTCTGCCATATATTGACAGCTGCCGCAGGTTCCATTGCATGGGATGAGCAGTCAGTGTTTTTTTGGCAAACTGGAAGATGAAAAGCTCGCCATATCTCTTCATCCTCCCCAAGGTCCCTGTGTATACTGCAAGCATGGCAGTAGTTCGAAAGAACTTCAAGACAGAGGCAGAGCCCCGTGTCCAGGGACACGACTGTGCCCACTCCATTGTGGCTTTTATGACCTCTTTTCTGCCAGGTGCCATCAAACATGACTGGCACATCTCTGCCGCCGACTGTGTCCTTCGTGATGTTTCGTGTCTGGTGCAAGTTTTTGCTCACTGCCGTCATCGCCGCACCATGGAGCTTCTTGCAAATGCCGTTGAATGTCTTGTGATGCATCGGGCTCGGAAGACCGAGAATCGCACAAAATCGTGAAAGTTGGTCGTGGCCTGCGCCTATAGCGCGTGCTGCCAGAACTGCCTTCACGTTTACAGCAAAGCTGTCACGCGAGCTGCCGCTGTCAAAACGAGCGCTCGTTCCTTGGTCCTCGGCCGAAGCAGTACGTCTCGACGTGTGCGTGAACGAAAGTGCAGATTCAGGGCAATCAGAATTTTGACAGCACAGTTCGAGGAATGCCGAAAGTCCTTTGCGCTTTCCAGCTGCCTCTCGCACGCCGAGCTTCCGTTCGCGGCAGGTTGGGCATTGCGCACCCGCCACAAGTGCCGTCAGCGCATCGATTTCGCAAAGCAGCATGTTCGCAGTAGCAGCATCTACCGGTCTACGTTCACTCTCGAAGAATCCAATCTTCCTTTGGGATGCACCGACGAATTCCACGGCAGCGGCTATTTCACAACCACTGTCGCAGGGTTCGGTGACGGTGTTAGGCCTATCCGAAGTCGGAGCGTCGGGGCGTTGGTCGGGGGCGACATCGTCGTTCGCTGTCGCTTTGCGAAGCGTCCGACGCCGTTTCCCTCGATACTTGTGGCGAGTTCTGAACTTTCGATTATCTGAACTGCACTTCTTCGGGCTTGCCATGACGCAAAAATGCAGAGAAACGCAGAAAAACTCGATCGCGACGTCCGAGGCTTCGCTCTTTTGCCGGAGAGATAGGAGGGGGAGGAGCGTGGAGCGCACCGCCGTCCAATGGCGGCGCTGTGTGCCGCGATATTCAAAACGCGTGACGTACGCGTTGTTCTTTTCGTTTTTTGTTTATTCTGCGTGAAGGCACGAGACTGGCTACTAGTGGATTATGAAGGATATGGCCTTCGCAGCATGCGTGCACGATTGCAAATGGCGGCCAACGCGCCGTTTTCGCGACAAGACGACGCGAACTTCGCCGTTTTTCGCGACTTTCGCGCATTTCTCGCGTCACCGCTGCCCACTTGGAAGCATTTTTTGATAATTTCTCGTGCGAATTTCAGCTTGATATTTTCAGAAGTAATAGATTATAGTCCAAGGATGCCAATACAGCCGGAAAAAAAAAAGTGAAAATTTTCCGGAAAACCGCGTCTCCCCTTAAGTACAACAAAAAGTGAAACGCAAGATACAAAAACATCGCGTCTTGTTGTGTCTTCTTTGCTATCATGCTGTGCTGGCTACATTTTTTGATAAATGCTTGTAAGTTCATGTGTTTGACATTACTGTTTATCCCTCTACTCTCCTACATCAGGTGCAATTCTTTGGAGGCTAGTGAGATTTTTGCGCTCGGTGCGTTCGAAATATAAGTAGTTCAAATTGGACTGACATTGATTTGACATCATTGACAAGTATTTCACCATCTGTAATTCAATTTCTTTTCATCTTTAGGCTGAAAAGTAAGTGAACGTGCTCTGTGCCTCAGATATAAACAAACCCCACTACATGGTTGTCATAAAGTTGTTCTGGGTCTCTTAGCATGTCTTTGTTTTTGCTTGTTTGGTGATTCACGTGCAGCCTGTCATGGTGCACAACTCGCAGATCTTTACGGGCTTGCCCGAGCGTTTGAAACGACGAAAGCCAAGTACAAGATGTGTGTAGTTGCACATCTGGCTGGCCGTGCTTCTTGCATAGCTTCCGCAGCGTCGCATCTGACATACGAAACGGAGTTTAGTCAGTTTTGATCCAAAATGCAAGATGGGTTCATGTACAAGACTTCACACAGTTCCTCCGAATTATTGAGGAAGGTTGCGAATTTGAGGCATTCTGGTTCCACCCTGCAAGATTCCAAAGTAAGGTCGACCCCACATATAACGGCCCCACTTAAAACGAACTTTTGCGTAAAACGAACAATATGCGCGTGACCGTGAAAATATCCGCACGACTGTGAAAACGAGCACCTTGCCGTTTTAAATGAACTCGAGACCACCCTTATCGCTTCTGCTCTTCGAAACACGTGCATCACGAACTTTTTGGGGCAAGAAAGTTTGTGTTTTCACTCGCAACTTTTTTTTAAAAGCTGTGTTTCGTTTACTACGAACTTCAGGATACAGCGAACGGGTGCCGCGTCACGCTCGGGTTCGTTGTAAGCGGGCTCGACTGTCTGCCATAATTGGCCTCATTCTATGACCCTGCTCACCTTCTAGTTAGTTAGGACAGTTCTGGAACATTTTGACAGTCCTGGAACAGCATTGATGCTGGGTTCAATCACCAGAACAGTGCGGACTCAAAAGTTTGTAGTTAACTGCAGTGATAGCGATTGCGATATAGAAAAGCATTGAAGGTGAACAAGAAAAACAACGTGCCGTTGGCAGGGACTGAACATGTGACCTTCAAATCATACGTCCAGTGCTCTATTGATAGGGCTATAGCGGCGGTCATTCCCGCATCCACTTTATTGGGTATTTTTGCGCTTGTGATTCTGGGGAGTGTTGGCCAATGCCATTCGTAGCCATGGTGTTGAGTGTTGAACACTTGTGGTATTTTTTTGTCGTCTTGCCAGCAGGCATCATTTAGCATGTGGCTCTGCTGCACACTTTCATGTTTGCAGGCAATGGCATTTATACTCTGGTGCTCTATTTTAATGTGCAGATGAAGGATGGCAAAGAATCCGAGTCTTACGTGAAGCCCGAGGATCTGGTGAGTGGACTAGATATGTTCTTGTGGCAGTGTGGATTTATGGCTATAACCCATTGCTAATTCAAGGACAGAAGAACTTGCACCTCTCGCTTCACTCGCTGCGTTCTTTTCTCATTCTGGCCTTAGGTCGCCATCTTGCTTTAGGCAGAAACGCAAGATTGACATGCATAACAATGAATTGCAGTTTGCATGAGTCTTCGAAGTTGACGTCATTTTTGTCATGTTTTGTTTCAACCTAGCTCACTTTCTTTTTCTTCTTTTCTGTAAGAAATTTAGTGAAAGAGAAGCATTTATTTTTTTAAATGCATTTTCATAAAAAGTGACTTAATTAGGTATGCTGTAATATTCATGGAGGTGAACAGATTTTCAGCATAGACCGAGGTGTTTATGCTTCTCTCGTCAGGCCTTCTATTTCTGTTTTTCTAGTCTGCTGTCTCGTGTTTGTGTACCTTGCCACAAATTGAGGCATGCTTCAAGGTGTTCTAATGTTTTTCAAGTAGTGTGTGCCATTTGATTCGATTTGTACTGCAATTTTGCTATTCGAATCTATTCGAACTTCCCTAAGACAAATACAGTCAACATCAAATTAAAAGTGGCCCTTCAGGATTTTATTGTGCTTCACCTCATTTGACTGTCGCATTGCGGCAAAGCTGCCTTACAAGCTCTTGTATGGTCATCAACGTATTGGCTCAAGAAAACGCTCGGTCCAATATGGAGATACTGGAACCAGGGTTTTCACACGATGGCATTTTCGCAGTTACGACCACTACTTCTATTTGTAATTAGCATTACATGAGCTAAAGCTAGAACCTCTTTCGGTACGTCGTGATGTGGAATCATTAAAATTTTTGCACTACATGATCAACCATTCATATCGCATTTCAAACACAGAATTTTTGTCATTTGCCAAGCCCTTCTCTACCCTCAACTTTCACGAGTTCAATCTTGCTACCTTTTTGTATGCACAGATACATTCAATCGAGTATGATTTCTTTCCCCGATGAATAGAATTATGGAATTTCGTAACTGGTCACATTCGATCAGTCCCACTGAATGATTATGTTGCTATTCTTGTTGAAAATGATTATGTAACGAAATCTCAATTCCTTTATTATTATAAATATGGTTTATTGTTATTTTATTGCTACTTCTAATGTATCTTTTTTGTTGCAATTTTTTTCGCACTGTATAACCCCACTCCTGCAATAGCCCTTTTACAGGGTTGCAGTATCTAAAAAAAAAAATGAGTAAATGACAGATGTGGCATTTTTTAATATAGATTTACTTTCGAACCGAAATTGTGGTGTGTAAAGGTCTTTTTCTTTGGTGCAATCAGCTTGACCACGTTTTTTCTTTTCGCATCAGGAAGGCCGGTGGAGCTGCAAGAACGACCGCAGCATCGGCCAGCTGTGGGTGGAGCTCCTGCGCTTCTACGCTGTCGAGTTCAAGCTAAGCAGACGTGTGGTCTGCATTAGGCGCTCACAGCCAATGCTTATCATGGAGAAGAAGTGGAACAGGCGCTACATTGCCATTGAGGGTATGGCTCGACGAGCAGAAACCGCTGAAACGGGACATCCATCTCGTAGCTGTTCGATGCTGTATTTTCGCCGTGGAGAAATATTTAGCTAAAAATAAAACTACCATTTTTGCAAGATCAACCTCCAAGCAGTGGTTCCCGTAAAGCACGTTGTGGTCCACGCTTTTACTCGTTCAATTCTTAACATTTATTTTTTTGCTGGCTGTAGTCTCGCCCCCGAGTGGCTATGGTTTTTTGGGTTGTCCGGCTTGTGCTTATTGTGACTGATGACTGAACTGAAACACCTCCACCATGTACTCTTACTGAAGCGAAGTGAAAGCGAATGTTGATTGCTGAATAACAAGAAGGGGAATCGATCTAGGAAAGTGGTTCTCAAATGGAGGTCGAAACACTCACCCGCCTTTTTCTTTAAGCGTGACTGTGCCACGTATTGATGAACTGTCCAAAATGAAGTGGTGTGGCACGTTCGTTTGATGTTTTTGGTAGCAATAAAAGGCACCCATTTCATGCTCCAGTTGTGTTAATAGGTGTTACCATAGCAAATTTTCGATGACACAGCCGTGGCTTCTCGCTTTCTTCTGCCTTGCAGACCCGTACTCGCCCAAGCGGAACCTTGCCCGATCGATCCCCAGCGAGCGAATGTACCTGTTCCTTAAGCGCTGCATCTGCACCTCAGCTATCTACTTCCTGCAGCCGCAGTTGCACGTAGGGCCCATGTTTGTCCGGCTCCCGGGTCCGCCTATGTACACGGACAACTCCGAGTCCGACTCCGAGTCGGACGAGGAAGAAGACGCCACAAAGGTGCGCTTGATGTCTCCCCGCATCTTCTTGTACTAGTGGCTCCATCAGAACCATGGTTCAACGATTGGTATCCTCATTCATGAATTCCTACAAACATGGTCCCACCAGTTGCACATTGCTCCCTTCAGAGTTTTGATATGCTCCACCTTAAGACGCAGTGGCATTACGGCCGAGCTGTCTTTCGGGTTCTGCTAGTACTTGTAAACGAGTACCGCGAAAGTGCTGGTATGAACCTACGATATGATGGGCACGACAGACCCAAAACTAGCCCGAGAATTTGTACTCCTTCATACGCTGGCTTACACTACTGCTTTCACTTATGTGCATTGTAGTTATTTCCAGTGTTATGGCAGTTAGGTCGGCCTTCATTACAATATTTTTTCTCTTGCATTTTGCCACCCAGCGAAAGGAACGGCATGACTCGACGGACGAGTCGGCCAGAGCCAAAGCAACGGATGAGGAGGACGACGAGGAGGAGGATGAGGACGATGCGAGCAGCTGCTCGTCGGGCCCGGCCCACGATACGGACGAGCAAGACCCGGACCTGTCTTTCGCCGAAGTCGCAAAGGTTGTGGCCAACCTCGACCTCGGGCCAGACCCTGCCAAGTCAAAGAATCGCAAGAAGAAAGAAGCATCCCAGCCGGCTCCTCAGGCTCCACCTGTTCAACAGTTCGTGAAGCCCGGACCGCCGATACCTCAACGGATCCTTGACGACCTTGACATGTGCTCTGTTAAAGACTTCAGCTACAGCTTCTCGCGGAAGACGCTGGCCAATGGGCGGGTACGAGAGAAGCTCTTGGCTGCCTTCTATTCTCTTTCATTGCTCAATGTGATAACTGCAGTACTGTGGATTTAATAATAATAATTGTTCGTGTCGAATGTCCCAAAAGCACAATATGACTATTAAAAATGCTGTAGTAAAGGGCCCTGGAAGTTTAGACCACCTGGTGTTATTTTATGGGTACCTAAATCTAACTACATGAGTCTGTAGCATTTCGCCTACATCAAAATGTGGCCACTGTAGCCACGATTGGCCCCGCAACCTCCTGGCCAGCATTCAAGCACCATAATAACTAGAACACAGTGATGCGATCGCTGTTGGCCTGCCAGTCCAGATCGTGTGTGTGGTTCAATATTGGCAGCTTCTCTGATTGGCGTTCTCACTTCATTTCAGTCTCCTCCAGTCATCTGCTCCTCTTGCCAGAAGAGTGGACATTTGCACGAGGTACGTGCCTTCCACACTAAAAGCACTTGCTTGAAGCTCGACGACTCTGTGTTTGCCTGACTTGTGGAGTTTGACAGTTTGTTGAACACTGAGCAAAGAGCACCTCGTGCAGGACTGTCCCGATCACCGCCTTCCTGAGCTGAAGCCATTGCCTGACATGACGCGGAGTTACACGAAAATACTCAACGACGTCTGCCAAGATGTGATGAGTGAGTCCGATCGATTAGACATGCTTGTTTTCCATTTCCACAAAACCCTTTTGCACGGGGTCGTCTTCCGTGACAAATTTTCGTAGACTTGGTGCCAGTTGGAAAGAGAGAAGAAAGTGGTGTAAAAGAGATAAGTGGTGCTAATTAGTTCCACCCCCTGGCTTTTTGTAAATCTTCTTTTTTTTTTTTTTTGCGAGTTGCACTAATGGGACGGTTCTTGTAATAGCTTCTAACAGTGAAGCTGTTCTAGCTCGTTGTAAAAAGTTTGAACACATAATTGCCATCATTGGGAACTAGCACTCGCTCCCTTTGTCCCTCTCTTCATCTTCTGTTTCACTCCCAGAACACGTACGCCGATTTGTCCAGCGTATAGCAAGAGGCAAGCACCAAGTGTGAGAGAGAGATGTGAGACTGCGGTCCATAAGGAGGGGAAAAAAGAAGGAGAAAACAGAAAGATAGAGATAAAGAAACTTTGTAAGGAGGTAGGATTCAAACCCGTTAAGCCATGGTTTGAAGGCGAGCGTTTTAACCACTCTGCTGGCCTGGAACGCTGGTAGGATGTAGCATAGCCTTGAATATTGATGCGTAACAAGGTGGTTGAAAATGGAAGAAGGTGAGAGAGGAAGATGTGAGGATGAGGGTAAGAAGAAAGGGAGAGAGCGAATCATAGCATGAAAATTCAAATTGAAAGAAGGAAATGCCGAGGGAGAGAGAAATAGTGATGAAAGAAAAAGCAAGCGAGAAGTAGAGTGATGTGGAGATAGGAAAGAATCGAAAGATAGGATGGGAAAGAAATGGAAAGACGGAAATATAAATAAGCAGACAATGGAAGAATGAAAAAGATAAAGAACAGAGAAAAGAAAATAAAGAAAGAGTGAAGGAGTGGAATGCCAGCCAGCTCTTTACAGAAATGTGGACACATAAGTTGCATAGCAAATGGCAACGGGCCGGTGCTTCGCTGTGCTCGGATTTTCGTGTCTTAGTGCAAACTATTTACATTTCTTTTTTTTTCTCACGATTTCGGTATAATATGCATTACCACATTTGGGGTGTATCTTTGGAGCCCTGCACTACTGAGTACATACTTGGTAATGACTGCTTAATGGGTTCATCTTCTTACTTCCAGAAATTTGCACTCCTGATCCCGAAGAGGAGGCGTGCCGTGAGAAAGTGCTCCATGAACTTGAATCATTCATCCGCCAGAAGTACAAAGGTGGGAGAATCGTGTTTCTCTAGAGCTTTGCTAATGAAGGCATACTGTTGAATACCATATTCGCTCGCATAATGAATCCACCCCCATCTTGGTTCTTGAAAAAAAAAAAAAAAAAATTTAATATATCTCTTCATTCTGGTGTGATAGCCAGTGCTGTTGACGATCGAAACAACATTAAATCAAGCTGTTATATCGCAAAATAATGACGCAATAAATGTCAAAATATAGTTGGGGTAACCGTGCTAAACAGTTGTGAGCAGCGAGAGTGCAAACCATGTCAATAAAAGTTTTAAAGTCACTTCTTTTGCGGTAGAGCAAAAGAAAGAATGCAGGAAAAAGCTTTTTGCTTGTAGCGCCACGCAAGCACAGCAGCATGAAAACAAAGCAAGAAACAAAGCGCATGGCCTCCGAGAGATCACAGGCGTGTGGCGTGCTTTTACGGTGCGTGCCCGCCATCTTGGAGGCTATGCAAAGTGCAACCGCACCTGCCATGCCGACGGCACCTTGTGCACCCGCAACGTTTGTGTGCAGCCACCAGATGCTGCGTTTTTGTTGTCTGGTTTGTCGTAGTGAATTTAGTTCAACACATTCTGAGTAGGGCGCGTTCGTCCGGTACGCTAGCTATGCAGCTGCGTGCGCTGGAGCATAGAAACAGAGTGGCTGGACGACACTCCGGCCTCGATCCGTGCGCGCTCTTTATGGGAGGAAGCAGGAAGAGGTTTGGGCTACAAAAAAATTTGTCGTGCATTTCGAGGGCCAAAACAATCATGCGAAATATTCGCTCTTATGGTGCAGTGGAACCCCGATTATACGACTTTCAGGGGACCACGCAAAACCGTCGTATGATGCGGACATCGTATAATAAAATAAAAAACTTGGAATATAGCAATGCCACTCAGCTTTGCCCCCAAAAAATGCGTATAGACCACCTGAATAAGCATACGGCACGACCTTGTGCCTCTGCTAAAAAGGTATATTAAATTATTCTTGCTAGCAACAGCTAGTGGCAGCGTAACTTAGTTGAAAATCTCTATTCTCAAGCTAAAAAAAAGAACCGAATCGCACTCGCATCTTCTTACCAATAAATGGAGTCCGAAAATTGCCTGCGTGTGAAAATGAAACCGAAACTGCGTTGCCAAATAGCCTTCCGTCGGAAGAGTCGGACACAGTGTCATCGCTGTCACATAATGGCGACCAACCAGGAGTGTGCGTAGAATGCCTTCATGTAGGACTGAGCTATGCACGTTGTGGCCTTTTGAAGTGCAACTAGTGATGCCCCGCTGTTAGTATGAACGTCGACGTCAAAGAAAGTAATTTTGCACAGTGAAAACAGCTGCGTCGCGCCCTTATGCGTCTGCAAGCCTGTGACTGGGAGTGCGACAAAGGCGGGAGATCAGCTATATGTGGACCAGATAATGTTTTCATGGACCGAAAAGGTGAAAATATCGGCTTTTCGGTCGGCTGAAGCTACTTTGTGTGGACGGAGCTTGACTAGGTAATGACCCCAGATACGTCTACACGCGATTGCGATGGGTGTAGAATTGCATGAACTTCCAGGAGAATAAATTTTACATTCTAAGAAGACATCTGTCTCGCTCTACTTTTCTAATCGTCAGCCTAGGGGAACGAAAGTTTTATATTTTGCACTCGTGAATATTTGGTACACGCTTGATTCGAGTAAAGGCATTCTTTTTTCTTTTGGACAAGAGGTGAATGTCTTTGTAAGTTGCGGGGTCGGCGTAAAACTGCGCCGTATAATTAAGGTTTTTAATACATTATTCCTATGAAGATTATGCCAAGACTTGACCGATTTGTCGTAAAATGCGGGTCGTCACGAAACTGGGGGACGTATAATTGAAGTTCTACTGTAACTCCCGTGACTTTTTTCTGCCGCGTAATGAACCCTCCCCCCAAATTAACATCAACTTTTCTGGAAAAAAAGGTGGGTTCATTTTGTGAGTAAATACGATACGTGTTATGACTGATTTTGACTTTACGGTAAAACGAGTATGACATGACCTACTTTATATATACTAATGGATAAAAAGTAATTGCGGTGAATTCCTGATCGAGTCTCGTAGAGCCTCGTAGAGTCTCGTAGAGCTGTAGTCTCATCCTATACCTTTCAGTTATTGCATACTGCGATTAGTTCACAGGGGCACGCGAAAGTTTAAAGACAAGTTTGCCTGCATCGCAGCCATCATTCTCAGGAGGCAGAGGCCAGAAGTGTTGCCTTCAAATTGGTTAGGGCAGGTTGTCGCCTGCTCGTTTACAATACTGAGATAAAAACATTTAGTTGTAAATTAGCGACGTCTGTACAAATTTATAATGCCTGATATTGTGGACAACTGGATACATACAACCGGTTCAATGCGGACAGCTGGATACCCAAAATTTGCTTCATGAGTCGTGCTTTAGTGTTTTTCTTTATATAATTGTTTGTTTACTTATGTATGTGCGATATGCCTGAGATTGGCTTTGGCAGAGTAGGCAGAAGTGTGTAAAATATGCGATATTGCGGCAGAAAAGGAGCACTTGGTGTTTTAAACAAAACTACTCAATGTTAATGTTTACGTGCATGTTTTTTAGGCTGTTGCTATTAAGTTTTTTTTTTTTTTTGTGTCGTGTAGGTCTAGTTTCTAGTGATGAAGCGTGCTGTTTTCGGCCAGTGGGAAACTTGCTAGCCACATAGATATTGTATAGGTTGGACTAAGAAGTACTAATCGTAAGAGACATTCTTTTCTCCAAACTGAAACCAGCTTTTGTGTGCTTTGTGAACATTTCATTTTTGTGATTGCTTTAGTATGACGAATGATTGCGCTCTCTTTATGTGCTCGTTGAACACAGATGCCAGACTCGCACTTTACGGCTCGTCATGCAACGGCTTTGGCCTGATCCATAGTGATCTAGACATCTGTTTGACATTTGAGCACAGTAAAGATGGCAAGGTAAGTGACTAGTCGAAAAATTATGCCTGAATAACATATGCGAGATAAAAAATGGCTATCATTACAGGCCTGCATGCTTTGCATGACTTTTCTATTAGTTAGGTAAACCTGCTTATAAGGAACATCCGTATAGCTAATTCCTCGATACACCGAAGCTTTTAAATTCTCTGCCGTTGCTCCATAGAAGCACATGTATTTGCTACCTCTGTCTACCAAAGGAGCAGCAAGAGACAGAACAAATTTTTTGCAGTGGCAGTCTAAGAATTTTGCCACGAATTTTGTCATTTTTGTACAAGCACGCATCATTCACGGGTGACCAAGTGCAAAGCGGCAGCGGCGGTGGCAAAAAATTGTAATGTTGTATGTAGTAAGGCTGGCAGTCAACTCTTTTAGATGCGATGTCGCAGAACTGCTGCAAAACACTGGTGTGAGCGAATATGGCCGCTACAGGGAGCAGTGTTCTTTTCACGCAGTCTCCTCGCGTTGAAAGCGCACCGACGATACTTGCCGAGGTAGTGCGTGTTTCAGTGATCGTGACTGCCCTTTAAACTTGAAATTAAAGTTCATTGTTGCTACTCGGGCGACCCCCCCCCCCCCCCCCCCTTCCACAATTTTTTATGTTCGTTTAAGACGGGTGGTTTCGTTTCTGTTTGAGCCTTCGGCAACAGTTCTAACATGCAGGGGGTGTTATCTTATGCTCCTTCCTGGCAACAGAGATAGGCCGACATTTAATCTCTGCTTCAGCAGCGCTTGCGCGCTTTTACCCGCTCATGAAAGTTACGATGCACGGGGGCATGTTATCAATTTAGACTTGTTACGGAACATGGCAGTGATGGCAAAAACCCGCCGAGAGCGTCCATTTAGACCCTCCACAGTGGTCTAGAGGCTAAGGCACTCGGCTGCTGACCCGCAGGTCACGGGATCTAATTCTGGCTGCGGCAGCCACATTCTCGGGCGAGACAAAAGTGCCCAAAGCTCGTGCGCTTAGATTTAAATGAATGTTTAAAAATACCGGGTGGTCAAAATTTCCAAAGTTTACGACTGGGCGTCTCTCATATATGGTGGTTTTGGGACGTTTAACTCCAAGAATTATTATTATTGAGAGTGTCCATTTGAATTGCTATCGCAATAATAATGCAGTTTTTTTTACTGTTAAATAAGTGTTTTGAGTTAGCTCTGCCTTCAGTCCACCTTTTGTTGAATTTGTGCATTTATCTTCCGCATTTTCACACGGAACATGCATATAACGAAATCCTCTTTATAAAAACCTTTTCTGGAAAATCATCACTTTCGTTATATTCAGGTTTAACTGTAGTAATCGGTGAAAACATATTTTGTGTCCTGCATATTGTTTATTGGGGTGCATGTGACACCTTGTGTCAAGCACATAACCTAATGATTTTATTGCACCTCCGTCTTTTAGTACATCTGTCTGTCTGTCTGTCTGTCTGTCTGTCTGTCTGTCTGTTTCGTCTGTCTGTCTGTCTGTCTGTCTATCTGTTTCGTCTGTCTGTCTATCTATCTGTCTATCTATTGCATCTATCTATCTATTTCATCTATCTATCTATTTCATCTATCTATTTCATCTATCTATCTATTTCATCTATTTCATCTATCTATCTATCTATCTATTTCATCTATCTATCTATCTATTTCATCTATCTATCTATTTCATCTATCTATCTATTTCATCTATTTATTTCCAACACAAAACAGTTTGGGGTTCCCCAGGCAAAAAAGGTGCTAAAAAAGCTTGAGGAGACCTGGGGGACCGTACAGGCAGCAGTGAATGGATAAATGTGGTAGTCTGATTGCACCTACACAATCTGTTCAAGAAACTGTTCATAGTGTTTAGAACTTTGACAGACCGGTTTACTGCAAGAACCACCTCCAAGAGCTGGGTCACTGACATTTCTTTGTATCAGAAAGGATATATATTTATGTCACTCGCACCTGTAGCCATTTCTCTTTAATTTTTTTTTTTTTGCTGTTTAACAATTCACGATTGATAAAACTGTTTCTTGTAGGACTTTTGCCACAAAGAAAAGATTCTGGACCTTGCAAAAGAGCTCAACGGTGACAAAAACTTGAAGAAGATAACTGCAATCACCTCGGCCAAGGTCCCGATTGTCAAGTTCTACCATAAACCGACGCAACTGGAGGGGGACATCAGCTTCTACAATACTTTGGTATAGAGGGAGTTCTTCTTTTCTTGTTTCTTTTGACGTTGATGTGTTTGGAGCAGTGGTTCTCAGTCATGGATGTTTTGGGGACTTCTTTTCGACCTACAGGTGTGATGAGGGACCCTTTGCAGCGAGAGCAAAGGGTATAGAGGGAAAGGGGGTCATAAATTAACAGAAGATGTAGCGTGAAATTCGTGCCTATTATTTCTTCCTGGGAAAGAGACGGTCATACTGAAGTGCCCCGCCTACCCGATCCCTAAAGTCTTATCAATAAGTTGCTCTGTCTACAGCCACATTCAACCTGTTCATCATGTATACTCTTCCATTATGCAAGCCTTCAAAAAGTATATTTGTGGCATATGTCGTAGAAAACTGTGCAACAAACGCTTTACAGCCGTAAACCCCCTGAAAAATGGCCTCGCAAACCCCATATGAGAACCACTGGTTCAGAAGAACTTAACGAAACATGCTTATTTAGTTCAATCAAACGCCGGAGTGCTGAAATTTTTCGCATCTTCCTTAGGCCCAGCACAACACAAGGCTCCTCAAAGTGTACAGTCAAATTGATGAGCGAGTCCGAATCCTCGGATACACTTTCAAGCACTTTGCAAAGGTAAATCGGTCCCCTCCTTTTGCTTCACCGCTTGCGAGGCTCTGTAAGTGGGGTCATCACATCAAAAGCTACTGTTGTTACATAGGGGGGAAAATTGGTGAATCTTGGCACCCAAATGCAAATAAATATGCTGATATTATAGAGCTGGATCATTTTATTAGAGCCTCTGACATAAGAGACAACTGGGTATAAGAGATGTTTGTGTGCCGACATAAAGGTAGAGGCTGGTTGGAAAATAAGAATGCGGTACCCTGTTTATAAGAGACCTTTCCTGTGAGAGACAAATATTGTTCCCTGTTTCAGGTCTTTAGTAAAGATGTTCACTTGGGACTGCAATTTATTTTGAGCTATGTGTTATAGTTTGCGAGTCGCAACAATTTAGTCATCCCCAAGTTTGATTTATTAGTAAGATATAAGTTCAGTGCTTTGTATTGAACTTATATCTCGTTGTTGCTTTCTTTTGTGTAGAATGAATGCAGGCAAATTAGGCATTAGTATGTTGCATCAGCATAACACTTGTTAAAACGCAAGAGCTTGGCCATCTTAACCGGTCTGGCATTGTCATCCATGGCAAAGCTGTTGTCGATGTTGTTTAGCTACTAGGCTTGTGCGAATATTCGAATGTTTTGAATATTCGAATGAATTGTTGAGTATTCGAATGTGCTTCGATTCGAATTTAAATTATAGAATATTTTCAAAGTATTCGCAATAAACAAATAGTCCGCATGTCACATTTTGTAAAGGTGGTTTGACTGCAATGTAGGAGTGCTAAGCCGTGAAAACACCTATCCAGGGAAAATTTGCTCTGTCATCAAGCTCCTCTTTAAATTTAAATTTCTCTGCGACACTTATTGAACATGGTCAGAAAACGCTGCGAATTGGTAATCGAGGCTACCGAAGATACTCGAGGCGAATATTACAGCGCAGCACGCGGCCTGTAACTCACAATAAATTTTTAAAGCTAAAAATTGCTTTCTTTCCTCGGCAAATGACACTACAAGCTTAAAAATCGCTTGTCACAGCCATTGGCTGATTTCAGCATGACGCGCTCGTTGTTACCGGGGCCGCCGCTTGTCCACAAGTATCGCACTGAAAAGCCGCGTATTCGAAGAAAAAAAAAAAAAAAAAAAAGAGGTGCTGAAGGTCACGAGGTGCCTGTGACGTATACTTTCTTTCGCTGTGAAATTCCTCTCTGCTTAACTTCCAGCTATTTCTTTGGGACGAGAAGAAAGAATGCAATGACTGGACTAGACTGTTTCTAGAAACTTTGCGGCGATAAATTTATGAGGCAATAAGCATGTTTACTGGCTTAATGGCTACTTGAAAAAGTGTTGCAGGGCCCCTTTAGATAAACATGTTACCCTTAGACCAATTCATTTTATTAAAATAGCTTATTATGACGGCTTAAATAATAAATTTTGAAATGTTAAGTATCTTGCAGGTTATCACTCGCATGCTACCGAAACAACTCAAGGTTGTTTGGACTTTCTTTGAACGAAAAAAAAAAAAAAAGAAATGGCATTTGCATAGAGCCCCTATTTATATTCAAAAGAAATATTGTGCAGGTTAGTTAAGTCATGACAAATATTCCTTCTTTTATTATATGTCATACATGCCATTCGATTTGAAATTATTCGATTAAAACCATTATTCGCTTCGAACTTAAAGTTCACTATTTGCACAAGCCTATCAGCAACAAATTGTTTGCAATGTCCATCAGCTAATGAGGTATGTTATGTACTTACTTCCAGACTTGTGCCATTGGTGATGCGTCACGGGGTAGCCTTTCCTCATACGCGTACATTCTGCTGACGCTGTATTACCTTCAACAGTGCAAACCGCCTGTCATTCCAGTCCTCCAGGAGGTAAGCTCAAAATCTATGCAGTGTGCTGGAGCGGCTAGGCATTGCAATTTTAGCGTTGATGAGAGTGCAAAAAGGATAGAGATAAGTTATGGGAAGGAGAGGCATGAATTTTTCAACATCATCCACACGGCGCCAAAGAAAGTGCAAAGAAAACAATCTATCATTTTAACTGCAATGTAAAGATAAACAACACAAAGAAAAGTAAGAATGGATAAAATAGCTTTCATTTGGGGGGGAGTATTGCCGCTTACTTGTTTTCTTATTCATTATTTTTGCATTGATACAGTAAAACACGGATATATCAAACCTATGCTGAATTTTCGGGTGTATCGAAATTGTAAGTTATCCCCTTGAAATTGCTTTGTAAAACTATTGAAATGCGCATGTCTATATCGAACGGCATTTTTACCCGCCTTCGGATATATCGAAGGCAGGGTGAGCTGGACGGTGCGCTTCGGCACTCGCCGCATCCCGTGATCTGCACAGCAGCGTGGCTTTGCGCTCGAGTTTGAAGGTGCGTTTTGGCACTCGCAGTGCCTGGTGACCGTGGCGTGGCCCCACACCTCCGCCAAAACTCGAAATGCTCAAAAATAGGCAAGGGCAGGAGGGGTCAGACTGCACGGTCTCCTTATAGAACTTGTAGAACGGCTACTTTTTTTTTCTCTCTCTCTCATGCATTCTTTGCGTACTTGTCTCCTCTGAGAGCAGGAATAAAGGAGCCGATGTCTTTCTCCTTTATTCTTTTATTTTTCGTTGCTGTTTCGCGAGTTTTGATCAGTCAACCACGGCTCGCGCCTCACCACGGTGGTTTAGTGACTAAGCTACTTTGCTGACCATCAGGTGGCGAGATCGAATCGCAGCTGCGGATGACGCCTCAGCTGTTCATGGAATAGCTGCAAGTGTGGGACGTCGAGCTGGGCAAGTCGGGGCATCGTGCTTGCCTTCTTGTGGGCAACTGCTCAGCCCTACATACAATCTGTGAGCGCAAGAACATCGAGCTGAAGCTTCTGCTGGCCAACACGACGACGAAGCTGCAATCGCCTGACCAAGGTATCATCAAGTCCTTCAAGGAGGGCTACAGGAGGCGACTTCTTGATAGGCTGCTGGTCAACCTCCACATGGTCACTGAGCTGAAGGCTGATCTTGGTGCCATACAAATAAAGACTGGTGCCAGGCGTGATGGGAAGACAGACACAGTGGTCAAATGCTTCTGCAAGGCATGGTCAAATGCTTTCGCAAAGCAGGCTTCGAGACAGCGGAACTTGCGGAAACCAGTGAAGATGGCGACGACGAGCGTTCAGAGGACGCGTTTCGCGAGTTGTCATCCCTCTTCTCAGCAGCAGTTTCACACGAAGTGTCTGTGGACGATTTCGTGGAAGTGGACTGCAATGTTCCGGCCGTCGCGAGCCTTGCTGACGTGGACGTAGTAGCTGCGTTCGCAGGGATCTAGGATGCCCAGGCCGACAGCTCAAGTAAAAAGGAAATTCGTCCGGACAAGGCGCTGGCTTCATGCGTGTACTACGCCGCTGAAGTGGCGGCAGCTTTCCGCGTCATTCACCATTGTATCAATGACATATAGGGAACCGGGCTGTCGCACTTGGACAGCCTTGATAAGATCGAGACTAGAGTCTTCAACTCTATTTTACGAGCGAAGAAGCAGGGCAAGAGAAGCGACTTTTTTTTTTTTTACATAAATAAAACACTGTTGCTGCATGTGTGCAGCAACAGAATGTTACCTGTTGATGATGACCCGCTACAGGTAAGCTCTCGGGGCCTGTATTTTTTGTATCGAATTTTTGATACATCAAGCTGATTTGCGATTCCCTTCGAGTTTGATATATCCGTGTTTGACTATATTTTCTTATTTCAGTTCAGGAATTTTTTCCTTTAGTATTTTTTCAAGTTTGGTTTACGAAACGATTTTTTCTGATGTTTTTGTTGGTATTACGGTTTGTTGGCATTATGCTTTGAAAAAAGTCTTTACAGTGTAGCATTGCTTTTGTAGATGTCATACGGGTGTGACTAAGTGCAATTTCTGTCCCTGTCGGGTGGGATTGTGATAGTTTCTTTATTGTGTTGTTTGCACAAGAGTCGAAAAAGAGCCAGTTGCAGCCGAGAAATTCGATCCTGATCGGCGCTTGGCGATCTGGAAGGCTTGAAAATATTCATAATTTATTTTCCCCGACGAAGGTCCTTTCTTCTCTGCAGGCATCGTGATTCTCTAGAAAACCTCTTGGCATTTGCTTATTTAGACGGATTGAAACATCTGGGCTTCACGCTGCGATTTTCCGATGTGCATGTCCGCTTGGCATTTTGCTTACACGTGATTGTTGCCATTGTGGGGCAGAGTAACATCGCGAGTGGTGCATGCTGTATTCGCTGCAGTCTCCCCCCCCCCCCCCTTTTTTTTAGCAAAATCGAGAAACTCACTGCTGACCTTCATAACTTTGCGGTGACACGCTTTTGTGCATTGCAGCTGTACCCCGAAGGGGAGCAAAAGCCCGAGCTCATCGTGGAGGGCTGGAATGCCTGGTTTTACGATGACATTGATCGCCTGGTGAGTACTAGCTTGCCTCGGAAAGGAAAGGAAGGTTGAACTTAAAGGTGTCTTGAAACAGTTTGTTGATGTTAAAACACTGCTGTTGTGAATGTGTTGGCTGAACGTGTTGTCATTGGGGTTGTGCAAATAGCGAGTTTTAGGTTCAAAGCGAAGAGTAATTTTGGTTGAATAATTTCGACTTGAGCTCGAATGTAGTCAAACCTCGATATAACGAACTCATTTTTTTTAAGATGCAACTTTGTTTTGATGAGGTTTGAGTCTAGTGTAAGATTGCATATTATAAAAACAAAGGACATATTTTCATGACCTAAGTAAGCTGCACAATATTTTTCTAAAAGATAAGCAAGGCCTGTGCAAATGTAATTTTGGTTAAAAAAAAGTGGAAACAACTTTGAATAGCAGCAGGATTTGACTTTTGGTAGTATGTCCGTGATAACCTGTAAGATATGTTACGTTTTAAAATTTACAATACTTGGAGAATATAAGCTGGTATAACAAAGCTTTCAAACTTGCAAAATTATGGCTTGACGTTCATTTAACTTTGACGTGAGGCTTTGCGGCAGTGTGGATTATTTTTGGATAGGTGTTTTGATGCCTTAGCACCCCTTGACCACAGTGGAAGCACCTTTACAAAAGGTTGCATGCGAACTGGTACGTACTTAGATAGATGCATTCACATCTTGTACCCCTCCAGTGTAGTGAAACCACCTTTGCAGGTGGTCACATGTGGACTAATTATATTTATTCGTTCACTACGAATACTTTGAAATTTTTAATTATTTAAATTTGAATAAAAAAGAATTTGAATACTGTAATGCTTGCTCTAATAACAGGGGGTTATATGTGTACCAATTACATTTATTTGTTTGCTTCAAACACTTTGAAGCTTTAATATTTAAATTTGAATAAAAGAATTTGAATACTGTAATACTTTCTCTAAATTTGAAGCGTTTGAACATTCGCACAAGCTTACTTATTGTTCTGTTCTGTGTGAAGCAGGAAGTTTGCCCTGTCATGTTAGAAATAGGCAGATTGTCTGCTTTCTTCCTTTGAATGTTACAGAAATCAGGCTAATAGTCTGCTGTTTGTCTTCTCAATCACATGAACTTTTGGAGAAATCTGTGCAGTCTAAAAGAGGAGACGTTTTATCGTTTTTCACCTGGTATCGATCTTCGATTGTGTGCTCGTAGTTTCATTTTCTCTTATGTGCATGAGAGGCAGTGCCCATTGTGCAACATGCATGCTCATTGAAATGTAATTAGTGTGAATGTGTACCAAGCAGGCTCAGTATATTGTAAATAATGTAAATCTGTAAACAGTGTAGTTCATGTATGTGGCTTTATGTGTTAAGTGTTTATCACTGTACATATCACAGTCATCACTCAGTACGTGGAGTAGCATGTCAGGCAAAAAGCCAGGCTAACGTCTGCAGCTCTTCATTAAGATAATTCTATTGCGTCTCATTGAAGTGTTTGCGCTCTCTATGGTTAATTGTGTAATGCTGTGTTCAGTATGATAGCGTGGATGAATGGGGATCCCACTTCGAATTTCTTGTGCCAGCGCTACCAGGTTTCAGTGCTTCCTTGCCAGCAACTTCAGCGATTTGGTTCGCTTAATCAGCCAACTTTGATTTTTATTGTCCACCTTACGTGCCTGAGTATAGTTGAGCATGAAAATATCCTGAGAGAGGCTGCAGTTGCCGACTAGTTTATTCGCTGTATTCCATAAACTAATTGAGCTGAATCTTTGATCAGTCAATAAGTCAAATGTCCCTATTTTTTTCTCTCTTGCAGCAATCGGTTTGGAGCGAGTTTGGACGCAACAATGAGACTGTTGGAGAGCTCTGGCTCGGTCTTTTGCGTTTTTACACCGAGGAGTTCAATTTCCAGCAGCACGTCGTGTGCATTCGGCAGAAGGCTCCTCTGACCAGACTCCAGAAGATGTGGACGTCCAAGTTCATCGCCATCGAAGGTAGGCTCTCTCTCTGGGACAGCCCCGCCGTGGTGGTCTAGTGGCTAAGGTACTCGGCTGCTGACCCGCAGGTCGCGGGTTTGAATCCCGGCTGCGGCGGTTGCATTTCCGATGGAGGCGGAAATGTTGTAGGCCCTTGTGCTCAGATTTGGGTTCACGTTAAAAAACCGCAGGAGGTCGAAATTTCCGAAGCCCTTTACTACGGCGTCTCTCATAATCATATGGTGGTTTTGGGACGTTAAACCACACATATCAATCAATTTGTCAATCAATCAATCACTCTGGGACACAACGCAAAAATTCTGCATGAGCTGAGACTAATGGTAAAGTGCTTTGCAACTCGGAGCATTCATGACATAACCTCTTATAGTGCCGGACCCATCCGTGGAATCCCATGTATACGCATACACGTGTGTTGTGCATTCCCTCCAGGATGAAAGACTGGTTATGATGTGGTTACTGAATGATCTTGATAACAAATGCAATAGCAAGTGTGCTTCTCAAAGGAGGTGCGCTGCAGGGGGAAGGGTGAGAAGGTCGTTATAGAGGAGGAAGGGACTCTGAGCGAAGGGAGAAGAAAAGCTAAAGGCTGCAACAGTAGCGTGTCATGGGAACACAGAGTGAGGAAGGAGGACGGTCGCCTAGGTGATGGAGAAAAGTCTTTGCACCTTGCTTACTGCGAAGTCTCTACATGTGTGTCTGCGTCCTCGTCAGGTGCATGTTCAGTTTTCCGCCAGGAAACCATAAAGGATTGCGCCACCGCAACAGATATTGTGCTTGCGACCTTGTCCACAAATTTCAACGCTTTATGATTCGACCTTTTGTCTTTGCTGCCAGTATGTGGACTTGCGAGCACAGCGGACTCTTCCCGCGGCTGATCTTCTGACTGCAAAGCCAAACTTTTTGTCATGCTTGCTGCTTTTGGGTCGGTGCTTGAGGGCAGTCTTTTCGATGCCCAATTTTCAGTGTCCCTTGGAGAAGCTTCCTGCAGTAACATGCCAACATGAAAGTTGCAGTTTGGAGAGGAATCAATGAAACTCTGCAGTGGCTGCGCTTGAATAGTAAGGAACGAGGGCATAGGTGGCATGTGTACCCGCACTCGAATGACGGGTCACGATTTGATTGCAATATCTTGAAAATTGCGCGCTCACCTGTGAAATCGAAAGAGGTACCATTCAGCGCACGGAATTTGTCATTCAGCACAGCTTTTGTGTTATGTGCATAATGAAGTTAGTCTGAAATGTAGACTGCGACTCTCCAAGAGTTTTTTTTTCTTCCTGTGTTCATATTTGTTTCAACAGGGGTTGTAAACATTCGACATTGCATGCGTTCATGCTCGTACACCTGTGGCTGCTTGCTCAACACATTTTGTGCATATCACAGCCTAAAAAGGTTGTTTAGGGCCCGTTTGCTTTCATTTGGGTGCACGTTAAAAAAAACCCAGGTGGCCAAAATTTCCGGAGCCCTCCACTATGTCATCTTTCATAATTGTATGGTCGTTTTGGGACGTTAAACTCCACATATCAATCAAAAAGGTTGTTTTGGTTATTGGGTGGACATTTGTGACTCCAGCAACTCGTGTACTAATAATAATAATTGACGGTGTTTAACGTCTCTGAACAACTTGTGTTATAAGCAGTTAAAAAAGAAAGGAAATTAGACAACCACCTTCTGTGGCACGAAGCCACAATGGGTTGTTTCGCTTTCTTAACTCCTCCGCCACCTTGCGGGTCTCCGCAAAACTCGCAAAGTTACATTTTTTTAAATGTACTTTGGAGTTTAAAATTGGGTATGTGCATGATATAAAAATGCATGCGCAACTACCCTGCAGCTACTTGCGGTCTTCTAAATAACTTTCCTCCGATGGAAGCTTTCGTAATGACACAGTTGAGTCGCCATTGCCACTACATTTCGGTCAGATATAAGCACAACCGGGTTACAGTTGAGCCTGAACTCGACCTCTTAAAACCCACAGCAAGCAAACTGTGCTCTGTCAGCACTTTGTAGAGGTGACTATATTTGCCCCTTTTGATAATTAGCATTTGCCTGAGCCATAAACACTGTTCCGGTTTCATATTCGACATTAATGCACAAAGAATTTGTGGAACCATTTCATTGAAAGAAACTGTGCTTTAGATTAGAGTGAGTAGGGCAGTGGTATCGCATGGCTGCTTATTGAAGCCCTGTCACTTTTTTTTTTTTTTTTGCAGATCCTTTCGACCTGGATCACAATCTCGGCAGTGGAGTGACGAAGAGCAGTAAGTGTTTGCATAATGTAGAAGTTCTGGTTACCTCGACTTTTCGCGAAGAATGTGTGCTTGACCTGCGTGTCATGTTAAGCGTCCGCTAATGGGTTAGTCCACTCATGGGTTCAAGCGGTAATGGAACCCAGGCATTCTGTGTGGTAGTCGAGTACTCTACCACATCCACATCAGTGCTTGAAACTGCTTTAGACAAGAGACCTTATACAGAGATCATGTACAGTAAAGAGTGGTTTAACAGGTGTAAACCGCACCAGGCGTCGCACCACACGAACCGAGTAATGAGGTCGGTGGTTGAAAGCTGCCAAATTATTGCTAAGGGCTCAGTCATAACTCAACAAAGTGTGCAGCTACGTAGGTGTGCACTACTTCACAGATGCTTAGCGGGTATCTGGAACTTGTATTGCAATGTCACTCGATACTCGTTTACAGCACACAGAACAACAGTGTGCTCGCCTTATTACCTGCAAAAGATAGCCGTGTGACCTTGTTTTCGCTCAAACCGCTCAAACTTTTTTCTTAGCCAATGTAGCTACAGTCAAATGTCATTAATTAGAACATGCTTAATTCAAACTTCCAGTTAATTCGAACTCGCACTGTGACCCGTCAAAGCTATGTGTATTCGAGTGAGCAAGAACTCCCTGTAATTCGTACGCACAAGCACTTGCCACGGTGTGGGTGGATGCCTTCCTGCTAAAAATTGGAATTTGTTTCCCCACAGTGGTTGGCTGTTGATTTCTCGCGCACTTTGTTTGCAGTGAGCACATACATCATGAAGACCTTGATCAAAGGAAGGTCGCACTTTGGAACGCCCGTTCGCAGGCTACCTGCTACTTATGGCACGTTTCTGGTAAGTATTGGGGAACTTCATGCTTTTGAAAGGCTTTAACACTGCCTTATCGAGGCGAAAGTGTGGCTTAGCAAGTTTGTTTTTACAACATAACTGATAACAGTAAACAATGGGTATAACAGTCTGAAATAGGTACATCAAATTCATGTTGTCATAAACAAAATTTTCATTGCCTAGTCTTAGCGCCATTCGAAACCGTCAATTTTCTCAGCTTCGTGAATCGCCATATTTACCTACTTCTGTTATGAACGCATTTAAAAAAAATCTGTGCAAAGGTGGGGGTGCGTTTATTATGCAGGCCAAATTCCACGAAATCTTTTTCCGGATGACAAAAAAAAAAAGGTGGTAGTAAAAAAAAAAAGGTTAGTTCGCTTAGCCTTTCGCAATTGGCATACGCCTCTACTGTTTGGAAACAGCTTCTTTGTTGCACTTCACTCATTTACGGTGGTTGAAGGCACAATCTTCTGCAAGCTGTCCCTGCGCCGCCCGCACTCCATAAAGAGGTTTTGCAACTTTCTTTGCTCGCAATCGTTTAACCGCATCAGTGCTATCTGCTGCAATCTCAAGGGGCGCCCAGAAATGTGCACTTCGATGCTACAACTTCGTGCGATGCCACAATGCTGGCAAATCACTTTGCCAAGTATGTGGCAACCTCGCACTACAACTGTGTCGTTACCAGTGACATTGCACTAAGCTACCACCGGAGCATCCAAAACAAATCGCCGATGACAAGATTAACCACAAAATACGGCTGCCGTCTCACTGTTCACATGAGAAGTTATTGTATAATCCCTAAAGTACGCGCATATAACAAGTATGAAGAGAAAATTTCAACTCAAGTGAGAATCATGGGTGCTACCATGTTGCGGACATTGTCACGATCGTTTCTGGGCGACGAGCGATATTTTATAGTTTATTAGAAATCTGCGACGTGATAGTAAAAAATGGCTCTTCGCGACAGCCATGGTGACAGCAAACCCTGTCGTCGTCGCTCGAAAGTCAAGGGTATGTGGGTGGGCCTCTCGTATTTGTAGGAAGTGACTGTCGGTGGATGTGGGCAGTTTCGTGACCTTCGCTCACTTGTGTGCTCATCAGCCGCGATGTCCCTATACTCCCACTGTTCATGAATCCCGCTGTGGTGCACGAATAATAGAAAAAAGACGGGTGGTGCCGCGATCAGATAGGAAGAACAACACAGTGCATGGCAGCGGATGACGAGGGGGAGGGAGCCGAAGTGGGTTGGCAAAGTAATAAAAAGGCAAGGAGGCACTAAATGTTGGTGGGACTGCAGCGGATGAATGTAGGGGGCCAGTTTATTACGTGGGAGAAAAAAAAAAAGTCCAGATTTTGATGACTGAAGTTAGGGGTGAGTTGATTAGTTATGCGAATGTGGCCATTAGGCGTGTAAATACGGTAAATTTGTGTCAAAGTTTCAATTTAACCAAATATCTGTGCATTGCATACGTGCATTGCTATGATTACTAAAAAACCTTGTTTACGTAGTCCTGCTGTCTGGTCCTACTAAGCATACACAAGTACACTCATACCTCAATATAATGAACAAAGATATAATGAAATATGGGCTATTACAAATTAAATGAAAAGTAGTCTTGCGGAAGGTAGTGTTGGAAAGAATCTTTAACGAATATTTGGATATAACAAACTTATTTTCTTGTAACATGCAACTTTGTGATTATGTGTTGTGAGTGTGCTTCCAAATGGCTAAGGTAAAAAGTACCATATAGTAAGAAGTGCGGGTTAATGACATTTCACTATACTTGGTTTTAGTCTGTCAATTGTTGCTTTGCCATTCAAGCAGATGCAACTGCAACAAGCAAGGCTTGCGTTTACATTTGACGGACCTGCTATTTCTGCAGGCATACTTCTTTGATGCCCGGAACCTTGTGGAGGGGTTGCCACCTAATGACCGAGGCTGCCGCATCTGCGGAAAGATAGGCCACCGCATGAAACAGTGTCCGAATCGAAACAAGAACGGGGGCAAGGACAAAGACGCAACTGGAGGCAATGGTCGGGCAGCGTGGGCTCAGCAAGACCAAAGGCATGTATGATAAACCTGTCGTGTGAACTGTTAGTTGTATAGAGTAGGAGCACAAGAAAGTGTGACTTTAACCTGTGACCAATAATTGGAAGAAGAAATGAATGGAACGTGGTCAACCCAGCCGTCTTGCGTTTCGGACACTGGGAAAAGAAGGTGTCAGGGGCAATAGAGTGAAATGTGTAGTGGTTGGCGTAGAAAGTGATGATTATAACAACGCTGACATACCGGGTTTCCTGGAAGCGTCCTTCAAGCGTAAATTGTGGATCTCAGCGAGTGATGCTTGTCCAGTGAAAGACTATGATGATAGTGAGCCAGCCCAAAAGGTCACAAATCCAGCACTCAATGGACAGGCGAGATTTAATTACAAAATTTACAAAGTTACCCAAACTGATTGGTTAGATAATTGACATAATGGAAATTTCATTTATTCGCTTCAGCAGAAGCATTGGAGAACTTTTTTGAGAGTGATTAGTTTTCTGTACTTCTTGCTCAGAAAAGCAACATCAATGCGGATGAGAAAAGGCACTAAGGGGAAATAAAGTGGTTCTCATCCCTGTCTGTTCACCTTCCGATTCACGCTATACAGATGTACAAGAACATTGCCTATGTATCTGCATGCTTAGCTGCAAATGTCTTCAAAAGACGATGGTCTTCTGCCGGCCTTCTTTCGTCCATAATGTCGCACTTTCACAGCTGCCTGAAAACCACTAGGGTCTTTAGAATTACTTATATTTGTATTTTCTAGTAAAGGAACACACCACCTAATGCTTACGTATTCGCGTTGCGGCTCGGGTATGCGTAATGTTTGCTTTTTGATAGGCAATGTTCACAGCTATAAATGCAGCCACCTGTTCAAGATAACTGGGCGTTCAGCGAGTGCTTAATCGGGTGGCTAAATCGTTTGACAGACAGACCAAAATTTCTGCATTCAACTATCTCCCAAGAAAGATAGTTGCGGGACTGTTCAGCCTTTGGAGAAACCGATGTGAGGCCGTAGCTGCCAATTGCCGCCGGCTTGCCTTGTGGCCGATACTGGGGAGAATGAGACGAGAGATCCTCGCGTTCCTCTCCGAAGAGCTTTTCTTCCTCGGGGAGCAAGAGTTTCTGCGGCATTGGTCGTGCCCTTTCGTCAAGGTGCAACACGAAAGGATACAACTCATTTTTCGACCGACTTGGTGCTAAGCAGCGCCCGTTGAGTTGTTATATATGATTTCATTTGTTACAAAATGTGTTTCATTTGGATCTATTGTATCGTTATACCCTTGTATCGTGATATCAGCTTGAATTTTTGTGTACATGTATGCCAACATAATCATGTATATTAGAGCAAATGTCTTCACTGTAACGTAGTGATGTTAGTCGTGAAATATAGATGTGCAGAAGTGTATGTGCCCTGTTACTGGAATGGTATGAAGCCTTTGTGTTCTGTACAAGCTGTAAATAAACTTTTTCTAAACAGAAAGATTATCGTCTTCAATGTTCTTGTGTTCTGTTGTCACCACTGCTTTTGCCTGATGTATCTTATATAGGTGCGTGAGAACGCTGGTCAAGCTGATACAGTATAGCCCCTTTATAAGAGGCATTTTCCGGGCAGCAATTCTTGTCTTTTATATGAGATGTCTCTCATAGCCAGGGTACCACGCATACATTTTCTTATCAACCAGTATTTTACTGTAGGTACACTGGTGTCTCTTATACCTGTTTGGCTCTTAAAGAGGTCTAACTGCAGTCACTTTTATTCTTGTCGCCTCCATCAACTTGGTATTGGCAGAAATAAAATTGCTGTTGTTGTTACTATTACTATTTTGTTGTTTTTCAGTCATTGGTGAAAATGTGGTTGTCATCATCATCAGCCTGACTGCGTCCACTGCAGGACAAAGGCCTCTCCCATGTTTTGCCAGTTAACCCGATCCTGTGCTTGCTGCTGTCAATTTATACATGCAAACTTCTTAATCTCATCTGCCCACCTAACCTTCTGTCTCCCCCTAACCCGCTTGCCTTCTCTGGGAATCCAGTTGGTTACCCTCATTGACCAGCGGTTACCCTGTCTACGTGCTACATGCCCGGCCCATGTCCATTTCCCCTTCTTGATTTCAACTATGATATCCTTAACCCCCGTTTGTTCCCTAATTCACTCTCTCTCTTCTTGTCTCTTGAGGTTACACCTACCATTTTTCTTTCCATTGCTCGCTCTGTCGTCCTCAACTTAAGCTCAACCCTCTTTGTAAGTCTCCAGGTTTCTGCTCCGTAGCTAAGTACCGGCAAGATACAGCTGTTATATACCTTCCTCTTGAGGGATAGTGGCGATCTACCTGTCATAATTTGAGAGTGCTTGCCAAATGTGCTCCATCCCATTATTATTCTTCTAGTTACTTCAATCTCGTGGTTCAGGTCCGCGGTTATTACCTGCCCTAAGTAGACATAGTCTTTTGCAACTTGAAGTGCACCATTACCTGTCTCGAAGCGCTGCTCTTTTCCGAGGTTGTTGTGCATTACTTCCGTTTTCTGCAGATTAATTTTAAGACCCACCTTTCTGCTTTCCTTGTCTAACTCCGTGATCATGAGTTGCAATTCGTCCCCTGAGTTACTCAGCGATGCAGTGTCATCGGCGAAGCGCAGGTTACTAAAGTACTCTTCATTAACTGTTATCCCTAACTGTTCCCATTCTAGGCTTCTGAAAACCTCCTGTAAACTCGCGGTAAATAGCATTGGGGAGATTGTGTCCCCCTGCCTTACACCCTTCTTGATTGGTATTCTGTTACTTTCTTTATGAAGCACTATGGTAGCAGTTGATCCCCTGTAGATTTATTCCAGGATGTTTATATATACTTCATCTACGCCCTGATTCCGCAGTGTCTGCATGACGGCTGATATTTCTGCTGAATCAAACGCCTTCTCGTAATCTATGAATGCTATGTATAGTGGTTGGTTATATTCTGAGCATTTCTCTATTACCTGATTGATAGTGTGAATGTGGTTGATTGCTTGTTCCTTTGGTTGACAGAATTCTATTGTTTTCTTTACTTTGTTAGCAATTTACTCGCTTAAATAGCTTGTATACTACAGAGAGCAAGCTGATGGGCCTGTAATTCTTCAATTCCTTGTCATCTCCTTTCTTATGTATTAAGATGATGTTAGCGTTCTTCCAAGACTCTGGTACTCTTCCCGTCAAGAGACACCTCGTAAACAGGGTGGCTAGTTTTTCTAACACAATCTGTCCTCCATCTTTCAGCAGATCTGATATTACCTTATCCTCACCAGCAGCTTTGCCTCTTTGCATGCTCTCCAAAGCTTTTCTGACTTCTATCATTACTGGTGGGGTGTCATCTGGGTTACTGCTAGTTCTCATAGTATTAAGGTTGTGGTTGTCCCGGCTACTGTACAGATCTCTGTAAAACTCCTATGCTATTTTAACTATCCTATCCATATTGGTAGTTATTTTATCTCCGATACATCCGATTTTTGCCTATCCCAAGTTTCCTCTTCACTGCTTTGACGCTTCCTCCGTTTTTCAGAGCGTGTTCAATTCTCTCCATGTTATACCTTCTTGCATTGGATACCTTTCACTTATTAATCAACTTCGAAAGCTCTGTCAGTTCTATTTTGTCTGTTGTACTTGAGATTTTCATGATTTGACGCTTCTTAATGAGATTCTTCGTTTCCTGGGAAAGCTTGCCAGTGTCCTGTCTAACTGCCGTGCCTCCAACTTCCACTGCACAGTCTGTAATGATACTCGTCAGATTATCATTCATTGTATCTACGCTAAGGTTGGTTTCCTCACTAAGAGCCGAGTACCTGTTCTGCAGCGACACTCTGAATTCCTGTACTTTCCCTCTCAGCGCTAGCTCATTGATTGGCTTCTTGCGTATCAGTTTCTGTCGTTCCTTCTTCAAGTCTAGGCGAATTCGAGACTGTACCATTCTATGGTCACTGCATCGTACCTTGCCAACCACTTCCGCATCCTGCACGATTCCTGGGTGTGCAGTCATTATAAAGTCTATTTCGTTCTTATTTTCGCCATTAGGGCTCCTTCATGTCCATTTGCGGTTTCCTCGTTTTCGGTAGAGGGTATTCAAAATCCGTAAATTATTGCGTTCTGCGAATTCTACTAGTAGCTCTCCTCTGGCGTTCCTAGTGCCGATGCCATAATCTCCTACTGCCTGGTCTCCAGCCTGCTTCTTCAATACCTTTGCATTAAGGTCGCCGATCACTATAGTATACTGTGTTTTTACCTTCCTCATTACCGATTCCACGTCTTCATAGAAGCTTTCAACTGAAGCGTCATCATGGCTGGATGTAGGCGCGTAAGCCTGTACTACCTTCATCTTGTATCTTTTATTCAGTTTAATTACAATACCCACCACCCTTTCATTAATGCTATAATATTCCTCTATGTTGCCAGCTATGTTCCTGTGAATTAGGAACCCCACTTCCAGTTCTCTTCTGTCAGCCAAGCCCTTATAGCAATGGACGTGCCCATTCTGTAGTACCGTATGGGCCTCACCTGTCCTCCTAACCTCACTGAGCCTTATTATATCCCATTTAACACCCTGTAGCTCCTCAAATGGTACAGCTAGACTTGCCTCACTAGATAAGGTTCTAGCGTTAAACGTTGCCAAGTTCAGGTTTCAATGGTGGCCTGTCCGGATCCAGAGATTCTTGGCACCCTCTGCTGCATTGCAGATCTGACCGCCGCCGTGAGTTAATTGACGTATGCATGTGCGAGGTAGTAGCCAGATACTGCACCAAGGTGGCCAATCCTTCTCTGGTGAGGGAGTGCGTTTACCTGCGGTGGTCACCAGTAAGGCCGCAGCCCAGGCCTCTTAATGCAGTTCCACCACCACGCAGACTTTTTTTTAATCCGGTTGCGAACTGCGCGGCACCGTGATTCGAACCACGGACCTTTCGCATGCGAGGCGAATGCTTTAACCACTAGGCCATTGCCGCCATGTTGTGTACATGGAGCTAAAGCTTAGCTAAAACATGCATTACGGTAACATGGCAAGTTAGCTTGGTATTCTGGTAGCATGTTACGTTAAAAAGTGTAGGGAGAAGCTAAAAATCTACGTTAGTATGTGGCAACGGTAGTTTTGTTTTGGGCCACTAGAATTTACAGATATGACTAGCCTCTCCTTTTTCTGTGAGCGGAAGTGCCTTGCTGATAGAAGTGACCGGCTTTCCTTTGCAGCGGTTTGTCTAGGAACAAGTTCCGGCCACGGCAGCTGCAGAGTCTCGACACAGAGGAGATGGACGCGGAGCAGCAGCCGAATCGAGAGAACCTGAACTCGCAGCGGCTAAATCAGCCACAGCAGAGCCTAGGGCTCAATCGGAGAGCACGGGGTGGAATGCTTCCACCACGTCAGGCTAGAAATCGTGTGCAAGAGGACCAGCGGCATGGCTCGCACCACCAGCAACAGCCTCAGCACCAACAACAAATGCAGCACAACCAACAGCAACAAACGCAGCACCACCAGCCACAAGGTGCGCTAGCTGAGGGTAAGATTCTTGGCCTTGTGCAATGTCTGCTTTGGTCAGTGCCTGTTCGGCAACTGGGCGTGTTGAGCCATTGAAGTACTAAAGGGGCCCTGCTACACTTTTCCGGCATGCTCGTAAAACGCTGGAGATCAATAGGCGCTGACTGTATTAGTTAACAGGAGATAAAGACCTTGTAAGGCACCGGTGACCGTGCCATAAACCCAGGGCCCTTGGCCGTTTGCCGGTTGGAGCACCTTGAGCTGCTTAGCTGGGGCCGCCGCGAAATCCCGCCACGGTCCTGCACGCGTGTTCGTGTGATCACATTGAAAGTAAGCCACGCATTTGAAAAAAAGAAAAGAGCTCAAGATTACGGCCTGTGCTCGCGAAGGGATGAGTCTTCCTGTTGCCTTGTCATTCCTCTCTCTCTGCATAGCTTTCAGCACATTCGTTGGTACGGAAGAAGAGAGAAAGTGCTTAAAGTGTGCAGTAAATCTTTGTAACTCCACTCGTATTCGGCAGTCTTAAAATTTTCGCAACTAGTAGCTGATTGCTTGAGAACTGTGTTCTCAATAATTTTGAGAACGAAGGCTTTCATTAAAAGAGATTAAGGTTAAAGCATTATCCTCAGCGTTAACTGAAAAGTTCTTGGCAGGTGACAAAACATTGTGGTCTGAGGAAGTTTAGCTTTCCCATGTGTTTAGTTCGGGCACATGAATACAGATTTGATGTTTCGCTACTAGGCTTTTGCGAATGTTGAATTTTAAGTTCGAAGGGAATTCAAAAGGAATAGTAATTTTGCTCGAATTCGAATAGTATACACTCATACCTCGATATAACAAAATACCGGTTATAACGAAGTTAATGAAAAGCAGTCTTACAATAGATATATGCCAGGAATGAACCTTTATAATGAATTTTCGGATATAACGAACCTATTTTCGTGCAAGATGCAGTTTTGTTATTATGAGGCTTGAATGTATATCATATAAAGGAAAATTGGCATATTTGTTATGACCTAACCAACCTGCACCGTATTTAAAAAAAATTGAAGCAAGGCCTGTGCAAATGCTATTTTTTTTGTTCGAGGAAAGAAGCGGTAACCTGAAATTATGTTCATTTTAAAATTTACTGTACTTGGAGCATATAAGGCAGTGTAACAAGCTTTTAAACTTTAAATATTACGAATAACAATGTGAGGAAATGATATTCATTTAACCTTCAAGTAAGGCTTTGCGGAATTGTGGATTTTCTCTCTAAAGGGAATTTCACAGCTTTGCACACCTTTACTGCAGTGAAACCACATTTACAGGATATTACATGCGGAATATATTTCTTATCGTTCATTTCAAATATATCGAAATTTTCAATGATTAGAATTGGAATCAAGGTGATTTCGAATACTGTAGTATTCGTTCAAATATTCAAAACATTCAAATATTCGCACAAGCCTAGTCTGTACGTTTCAAGAGGCGTGAGATGTTAGTGCTTTTCTTATGTATTCCCGCAGCATTCTGGGTCCTGGTCTGTATGAAAGTCGCGCAAGTGTCATATGAGTGCCATGCTGTGTTCCTCAGGCCATCCGAGTCTGTGTCCCGAAGCACCGCACGGCGGCATCGCGCCACCGGGTGTTGCTCAGGCACAGCTGCAGAGGACACTGCAGAACATGGCAACGGCGGGTCTTCAGATGGGACCCTCCCGCTGCTTTGTTCCGCACATGGGCCCACCGCCGGCGTTCATGGCTGCAGCGCCCCACCGGCCGCCCCCATTCCCCGGTGCCAACGGCCAAACACCTCCTCACCCTGACGTGCAGGTCTTGCTGATGAGGATGCAGCAGCAGCAGCAACAGCAGCAACAGCAACAGCCACCCCAACAGCTGCCACCTCCCCAACAACTGCCACAGGAGATTGGGCAACAGCGATATAGCCAATGGGTGAGTGAATCATAGTCTATGCACTCACACTTCGATATAATAAACCCAGATATAACAAAATATCACTTCATCATCATCAGCCTGACTACGCCCACTGCGGGACAAAGGCCTTTCCCATGTTCCGCCAGTCAACTCGGTCTTGTGCATGTCTTGAGCTTTCTGCTGCCACTTTATACCCGCAGACTTCCTAATGTCATCTGCCCTCCTAACTTTGTCTACCCTTCACCCGCTTGCCTTCTCTTAGAATCCAGTCTGTGATTCTTAAAGGGGCCCTGCAACATTTCTTGAGCATGGTCAGAAAACGCTGCCGATCTGTAGTAGAGGCTTACGAGAACACGCAAGCCAAATGTTATAGTGCAGCACGTGGCCTGGAATTGCAATAAATTATCAGTCAGCTAAAAATTGCTTTCTCGTCCCTCGACAAAGCACGGAATATGCCCAAAAATAAACGTAGATGACCCATCTATCAGCTATTGGCTGATTTGAACATGGCGCGCTCAGTTGTTACAGAAATCACCGCGAAAGTCCGTCACTTGTCCACGCGTGAGCGTGCAATTGCACTGAAAAACATGCGTATTTGATAAAAAAAAGTGCTCAAGGTCACAAGGCGCGCGTAACGTTTTTTGTTAGCTTCCAGCGCTTGAATCGAGACGAAAGAAGAGAGAATGCGATTGCAGTGTGTGAAAAATTTTCGCTGCGTTGAATTTGTTAGGCAATACACTTTTCGAGTGAATTAATATCATGGTTACTCAAAAAAGTGTTTCTGTGCACCTTTGATGACCAGCAGTTATCTTGCCTTAGCGCTACGTGCCCTGCCCATTACCATTTCTTTTTTTTTAATTTCGACAATGATGTCCTTAACACCTGTTTGTTCCCTGATATACTCTGTTCTCTTCTTGTCCCTTAGGGTTACACCTATAATTTTTCTTTTTATTGCTCATATCATCTATGACAAAATAAATGAATAATAGCCCTGCAATAAATATAGTATTAGGAATCTACCTTTATTGCGAATTTTCTGATATAATGAACTTGTTTTTGTGTAAGATGTAAGTTTGTTGCAAAGAGGTTTGAGTGCGCATAGTTACAACCTAAGAATGAATTCAAGGACAGCCCCCGGAACTTCAGCTCACCTGCTATTCAACTGTGCAAAAGAGTTGTGTTAGATGGTTTCCGTTGTTACCATAAGTACTTTTTTGCTGCTAACACAAATACAATGTGCAGTAATAATTGAAAGTTCGTCGTCTCTACTTGAAACATTACGTTCGTCAGAGTGTGATGTCGAACTCTTTTCGACATTGATCAGGAAGTTGGCGTTTTTTTTTTTTTACCAAGAACTAGCGGCTCTAACTTGTGTCTGTATAATGAAACTACCGACCTAAATTATGCTAGAGGTACTTGTCTTCACAGAAATGTCTTCGCATACTTCTCGGGGAGGGAGAGTTACGATTATTATTAGCTTACATTTATCCTTAGGTTGTAAACGACTAGGTCTACTTGCGTAATCGGTAATCTGAGGAAAATATTTTTTTCAAACCTGTTCATCTAAAACGATTCAATATCTGTTCATGAACCCTAAAAAAAGTGAGAACTGCGGTCAGTCTTTCTTCAAGTTATAGTCGAGCCCGCTTATAACGAACCTGAGCGTGACGCGGCATCCGTTCGCTGTATCCCGAAGTTCGTAGTAAATGAAACACAGCTTTTAAAAAAAGTTGCGAGTGGAAACACCAACTTTTCTTGCCCCAAAAAGTTCGTGATGCATGTGTTTCGAAGAGTAGAAGCGATAAGGGCGGTCTCGAGTTCATTTAAAACGGCACGGTGCTCGTTCACCGAGGCCCGTGGCATAAGCTGCGTGAGGCACTAGCTTGGAAGTTTCATCGATCTCGCAATCCCATTCCTTCAAATTGTTCTCGCCACGTACTTAATTCGCAATGCCCCAATCCATGCACGGTTCCACAGTGTCGGGATCATCATCGGCCGTAATTAAACCATCGCAACAGATGTCCTACCCGCTCTCCCAGGTCGGAGTCGACGACGCACTGCCACAAATCGCCGCCGCAGTGGTCCTGTTCAGAAGCTTCAGGCTCGACATCGGGCCCGACGTCGACGAAGTGTGCCTTGCGAAAACAGTTTCGCGCGCATGTAGCCGTCACCGTTGCCCACGAAATATTCACCATCTCCACAGCCGAATACCGGGGCGCCCGAGCGGCAGGAAAAAGCAGACAGGAAAAAGCGGACAAGTCCTCCCGTCAGCCATCATGACCACACACGCACACCAAGAGCGAGCAAGGCGCGCACACGTGACACACATGCTAGAATGCGTGGAACAGCTCTGGGACCGTTTCCAGTCAGAAAACGAAACTAATTCGAGCCAGCGTGGCGGGCGTCGCGGAGTGGTGGAGACGGGCGAAGGCATTTCCCTCCTCCGTGGACGAAGGGGTTGTGATCAAGAGAGGATAGCAGATTTGCGAGAGAAGGGCAAGGAGCTGCGATAAAGAGAGGGGAGGATGCGGCAAGAGAGCGACCTTGAAAACCAAAACACACGGGAAGGAGGCAGGTTGGGTAGCTTGCTTGAAAGGTTCGCGAAACTCATTCGTAAAAAAACTTGGAAAGAGTGCCTACGCGCGCAGAATTCAAAGCTCGGCCGCCTGGTTCTGTGCGCGCGGTGGTGTTCGAAGAATCGGCAGCCGTGGTCAAAAAATTGTTTTGTTGTTGCGCCGTAGGTTTTGCGTGGCCTCACGGACTTCGATATTTCGCGATTCGTTCCGCGCAAATTAAAAGCCGTTCTCGCGGTTCTTACGGAAGACTGTTGAGCAGAGTGTGAAGTGAGCAAGAACAAGTCCCAAACACGAAACGAATCGCAGATTATCAGAGTCGGTGGGGTAGCGTACCCGCATGCACTATAGACGCAGACTATTGGATACAGTCGGTGGCCGACGATGTAGGCAAATGGTCTGGTCACTCTAGGCCGGCGATGTCAACGACAGTACCAGCGATCAAAAACAGGGAAGATGGCCGACCCATCTTGGAAAGATCGGTGGCAGTTTGAAAACACGGGCCCCGTCTAGCGATGCGGTGTGCTCAAAGTAGCGGGCGGGGGGGGGGGACAAAGCACGGAGGGAGGCGTAACAAAAGCAAAGCTGTTTGCTTCCTCCATGGAGGAAGGAAACAGCTTTCCTTCCTCCATGGGTCGGGGAGAGCGACAACTAGTGGGTCGCGGAGGCAGGGTCGGCGTTTAACAATAAGAATGTACGGGCACCTCGCCGATGCCTGATCGGGGGTCGAAAGTGGTTTCCCGGGAAGTCAGCAGACCGCTGACTCCGTTTGCTGTAACCGATCAGCGGCGCTTGGAGACGTTCGTTGTAAGTGCGATTTTGTGCCATTGAACCAATGCATATTTTCACGGTCACGCGGATATTGTTCGTTCTAAGCGAAAGTTCGTTTTAAGTGGGGCCGTTATATGTGAGCTCGACTGTATTACTTGAAGAAAGACTGACCGCAGTTCTCACTTTCTTTTGAGCAGTTTTATCTAGAAACTACAGAATGACTTTGTATGATGGAGGATCTCTATCGGAAGACCGTCGTTAAATCGAACTCGAAGAGACCATTAAAAAATGTCATTTACCGGGAGCTCAGCTTACAGCGTCAGCACAAGTGCTAAAACTGCCCATGACAAATGCGAACATTTCAGTGAATTGCAAGGCTGAGTTGAATGAAATCTGTGCATTCGGTGCAAGTCGTGCAATAATGGCCTCTCTGTTACCTTTGAGAATGGTGCAAATTTTGTTTAATTCAAGCCATGCTCTACTGATACTCGTTGCTTCGGTGCTTCGGCCATCGGGCAACATTAGCACTAAATCGTGAGGCTATTGTCAGATGCAGATGATTTGAACTGTGCTAACGGTGTGCGGACAACCGAAGTGTTTCTTTCAAACTATGGATTTCCTTGGCCCAGAAAAAGCGCTTCGAGGTTTTTGGAACAATATTTCAATATTCGTCCTTTAGTGTCCATTTAAGAGGTGTTGTCACACCATCTTTCCCTGCTTCCAATAACTTGTTTCTCGGCGTGCCATGTGCCCCTGCCCTGAATTTCTGCAGTCGCCATTGGGTCCACCACCTAGGCACACTATGCCATCGTCCTGGCCACCAAGCCTGCCACCTACTCAGAGCCAGGAGGCGCTGCAGCGCTTTGGCAACTTCATCGGACCAAGGGGGTCCCACAACCTCCCGCCACCACCACACCCTCAGGCCATGCCCCTGCCACCATCACCGCAGCAGCCATTTCTCTGTGGGCCCCCTCCGAAGCCACCGTTCAGCGCGATGCCTAGGCAGCCAGTCTTCCCAGGAGCTCTGTGCAGTGAACATCCATCACAACAGTGGGACACCTCGTCGCCACACCGGAGCCAGGATGTTGAGTCTGTACCGTCCCAAGATTAGAGAATCTCTAAAAGAGCTTTTCCCCCCCACATCCAGCCCGCCGTTTGCTTGTGACAAATTTTTCACACACCTCCCTTGATTTCCAGTGGTGAGGATGCTTGTTTCCAAAGACTCCAATGCCACAGGCATCCCTCAACAATGCCCCCGAACTTGTTTGTTTTGTCGTTTTAAGTACTTGGGGTTAGTGCCCTTTGCAAGAAGGCTAGTTTTGGTCGATGGTACTTCGCTGTGTATGTATACCGGCTGTGCTTAAGATTGGCATTGTCGAGGTGCAGGGCTGTTAGAGGAGGAGCTATCAATATTTGCGCCGGAGTTCGTCGTTTTCGTTAATGCACTGCCCATTGGGCAAAGCTCAATTCTGGTGACAGCATACATCATTGTCGAAAATGCGGTTCATTTCAGGCCTTTTGCATGCTTCCAGGGGTGCCTGATGACTGTTCATGTAAAGAACAGCCTTTCTTTGCCATTGTTATATACATTGTTTTAGATTAGCCACTGACCATCTTGACTGACTGGTGATGGTACTGGAACATTATCACTTGGTGCCTTTCAAAGCTTTTTTTTTTCCTTCTTGCCTTAGCCTCTACCTTCACCCGTACGAGATAAATTTAGGTGATTCAGACGTGGCAAGCATACAGTTTTAGCAATCTTATTTGCATGCTTTTGTCTCGCTTGTGATTAGGAATTTTTAGGCCGGAGCATAGCTTCCCCTTTGACCTGCCCTGTTTCTCATCCCTATCATGATGCTTTACAGTAGAAAGTTGTTTGCATGCAATGATGTAATAATGTGGTAAAAAGAACCTGTTATGCTTGATTCGGTTTGTGAGTGGAGCTTGTTAGCGCTGTGACGGAAACTGCCGGTAAGCGCTGTAGTCTGTGCTGTGCAAAGAACCGTGATCTTAGGCAGTACCTCTAATGAAAAAAAAAAAAAGTTATTTCAACCGCCAGAATGGGGTGGCGATATTTGTGGTTGCAGGAATCTGTTTCCTTTTTAATGAGATTACATAGACAGCAGTTGTATAGGGAAGTGTGTTCAGTAGGTATCGGGGGAGGCGGGCAGTGTTTGTCGTGTGCTCCGCCAGTCTCGACTGCTGGCTTTGGGGTCCACAACCTTCCTCGGCGTGGTACGCCCTTTGTAAGTTAGACAAGCCAATCATTTGCATCGGACACATTGGATCTCAAGGCCACTTTGTCATTGACATCTTTCGTAATGTACCAAGTACAACACTTTGGAAAACATTGGCTCGTTAGCGAGCTGTCTGACATTACGATGCCAACGCAGATTTTGACGAGAGCGCATGGGGCCACATGTTGTGGCAGTGTTGGGCAGGGTTTATTGATTTTAATAAAACTCATCTGGATTTTATGGTGGACATTTCTGTAAGCCACGACGGCAGGAAAAATGTGCGCAGTTGCCATTTATTGTAAATAGTATGCGCAAACCTTTGAAAGCACACAAGTGCTTTACGTAAAAAAGAGTAAATTGGTGACCATTGGCAGAGGACATAAAACTGGCCTACAATGATCATGGTGCCTAAACAATATTCCCCCTGCCAATAACTCTCAATGACTGTATTAAAAATATGTAAGTAAATAAAAATTGATGCTTTTTTTTCTGTTTCCTGCTTTCTTCATTGTGATATCCTTTCTTGCTACTTTAATGACCAAAATGCTCTTAAGAAGACCCTTAAACAGTTTTGATATATAATCAAACCTTGCTATAGCGAGCACAGTTATAACGAAATACCAGTTATAGTGAATTAAATGAGCAATGTCTTGTAATATAGTATTTCAAGTGAACCTTTATTGCAAATTTTCGGATGTAACTGACCGACTTTCCCATCAAATCGAACTTCATTATAAGGTTTGAGCGCTGAAACCTCGATAAAACAAGCACAGATATAATGAAAAATCTGTTGCAATAAAGTAAACGAGTATTCTTGTGATAGATGTTGTTAGGAATAAGCTTTTATAATGAATTTTCGAATATAATGAACTTTTTTTTGCATAATATGCAACTTTGTTGTAATGAGGTTTGAGTGCTCAAGCCTTGATATAATAAATTCAGATATAACTAATTATTGGTTATAACAAGGTGACCAACAGCTCTGCCGTGGTGCTACAAGTAATCTGTTATAACGAATTGTAGGATATAACGTATTTTCGTGGCAGATGTGAGTTTATCGTAAGATTTCATTATACTACATCATTGAACCTCCAATGGGCAGCGAGCATCATTTGCCTGTGTTGCCATGTATTTGGTATTGGCGTGAGCCGAGTGACGCTGTTTCTATAGTTTTTTTTTATAATATTCTTTCTCTTCTTGGACAACTTGAACTGGCTCTAGCTGGGCTGTGTGCCGCAAACAATGAGTAAAAGCTTTTTAAAGCTGCGATATTGTGCGATAACCAGCTATGATTGCCCAAAAGTGCCTTGGTACACATGCGTCACTTAATTGGTGGTGTGAATGATTTGATGGTACTGTAGCAAAAGCGCTGACAAAATTTTATAACAAAACTGTTTCAAGGTCTCTTTACATGTCAAGCTCAAGAAAATGTCTACGTACACTCATACTTCAATTTAACGTACTTGGATATGACAAAATATTTGTTATAACAAAGTAAATGAAAGATATTTTATAATAATTTCAATGTTAGAAATAACTTTTATAATGAAGTTTTGGATATAACGAACCTATTTTTTTGCAAGATGCAACTTTGTTATAATGTTGTTTGAGTGTACTGGTAATTGTATGTTCCTGAAATGCTCTTGCCACACACCTTATTCCCAAGCTTGCTGAGCATTACTAATGTAAGCAATAAGATGTCAAGTGGAAAGCGAAACCCAACCGTTCCACTGCCTTCATGGGACGTATTGGGAAGCACGAACCGGAAGTCGCGTAAGGCATTTGGCGGAGTCATTTGCTGCCATGGAGTTAAGGAAAAAACTAGGGAGGTAGCATCACATGATTTCGCTAGCTTTGACAAGCCAACTTCCTCATACACTGCCCTGACTGGCTACTGTGCAGTACTTTCTCTGTAGGCTTGGGCGCACACAGGAGACGCTGCCAAAGTAAGTATGCCACTAATAAGGTTTACCTATCATGTGACCAGGGCCTACTTCTCTCTTACATTTTTAAAAACTAAAAGTGAGACTTGGAAAGCATGGGAGAGAGCTGTGCCATATTGACACACACCTGGCAAAAAGGGCAGGCAGTGCCTTTGCTAAGAATGCGAGCCGGCAGGTTTCTCTCCGACTGTCCCAATCACACGGATAGTGTAATTTCAGAGGTGGGCACGGCCAACTCTTCCGCACCGCAGCGCCCGCTACCGAGGCATCAGAGGAGCCGCCGTGCATTTTTTGTGGCTTGGATGAGGTGAGAAAACGAGGTTTTGCACTACTACTTCTATTAACTTGGAAATATTGGAATAATGTGTTAAACAGTGATGATTGGATCGTGTGTGTGTGAACAACAGAGTACGACTCGCTTTGGTAGTGGACCAGCTGAAATGTCGGTGAATATACCAGAAAAACACAACGTCGTACCCTCCAGTTCCTTATTCTAACGGGGCCAGTGCGATTCCTTTGCTGCAAATATATATATATATATATATATATATATATATATATAACTACCGAAAGGAGATGTAGCAGCCGATGCAGCCACTGCAACGAGCGGGTGGGTCTCATGCTTCAACTCTTCTTTTGCGTCGTGCCACTGCTTCTCGGATCAAGTGAACTCCGCAAGGTGGGATACATTACTGCGTGATCCGCTCACAAACTGCAGTGTTTGGGTGCAATGGCCTCTCCACGATTTGCACGCGTCCCTATGGGCCCGGCAATGTCTCACTGTTAATTCCATGTTCTTGCTCTTCCACATCGCGTCGCCAATTAATAGGGACATAAAACATCGCACATGTCTATCGTATATGTTTACATCGTATATGTAAAACACCCACCCAACCGTTGTCGTACGTATGCATCTACCCCAAGACTATTCATTTAGTTGGTCAATATGCAGAGAACTGTGGTTAACAGCTCAATTTGGGGGCACTGAAGCCCATGCTTAAGATAGTCTATACAGGGTGTTTGAAGAAATGTGTCCAGTATTGTTTGAAAATTGTCAAAAGACGCTATTTGCTCGCTGCATTCACAGCTGTTTTCTTTTTTTTTCTGTAGCAGCAGGCATATTAAGAGGGTTGAAGACATTATTTGGAACAGTATTTCGGAAAATTAAATTAACTTCTTAATTAGTGGAGGTAGGCAGTTAAGTTATATGAGAGAATTGAGGTCCTTGATGCAAAGAACTCATTCCCACTTTGAGATTTCAGAAAAGCACCATGTAGTAATAACTAAGAAATAATAAAATTCTAAATTCTGAGGTGAAACCGAACCCAAAGGACCGATGAACGCAACAAGCAGACGACTACAATGGCGTCACTGTTCAAAACAGCGATTACAGGAGTGCAGTTTTTTTTTTTTTTCTCCGCTACGATGCGTGCTGTGATTGCCCACACACTCGCACAATGAAGTCGATTGATGGTTGATACATGACCTCCGAGATGGCAAGCGTGCGGCGCGGTTTGCGCGTTTGCCATCTCGAAGGCCATGGTTGATGTAACAACGCTCCTTCATTTCAGTTGCGCTCATTTGCGTTTCGGTTTCGCCGCAGTACCAAGGAGAATTTCATTAATTCGCAGTTATTGCTAGGGGCCACTTCCCCAAAACTCGAAAGCGGCAAATGTTTTTTCACATGAAAGACTTCAGTTCTCCCATTATACTTAACGGCCTAACTCCTCTAATTAAAAGAATAAATAATTTAACTTTCGTAACAACATTGAAGTCTAACTTTCCTAATGACAAAGGTATAGAAGAAATAATGAGAAATAGTTCAACTACTTCTTTCATAACTTTTTAATTTAGTTTCATTAAGCGCACATTGCCTGCTATTTGCGTTCAGTGTTTTCGCTGTCAGGAATGATACGTTTTACTATATATTTGTTTGTAAAATGTTATTCTATCTTTCTAATATATTGAAAGTCGTACGTGAAATACCGATTTTCTTTGTAAGCTTTTCAGTTGTGCAAACTGTTGTCTTCGGTGGTAGGACCTCGTCAGGCGTGAATGCTTTTAGTCGTTTCTTTCCGAAGTGTAATTTTTCTGTTTCGCACTTGAACAAAAAACACATTCAATCGTTGAAGTACTGTTTGTAATAATGCATTCAAGCCTCTCAAGATGCCTCCCGCTACAGAAAAAAAACAACTGTGATGACAGCGAGCTGATTTTCAAACAATGTTGGACACATTTCTTAAGAGACCCCGTATATAAAGTGACTATTTATCAGAGAAGACGAAAGAGGGGATGCTTTTTTTTTTGTCTCCCTTGTACGGGACATGACTAAGCGCCTTGCGGGGAAAGGAAGGGGGATTTAAGGAGATGAAATGAGAGATAGGGGGAGAGGAGACAGGGTAATTGGGGGTGGAAATCGTCCATTTGGGCACAGGTAGGAGGCCGACGCCAATATAAGGACCACTTATAAACGACCACGTAAAAAAATAATCGAATCAACTATTTTCAGTAGGGCATATTGTTTGCCATCGGTTCTTCGACATTTAAAATTGTCTGTGTGCCATAGAATTGACTGCTTCTTACATGGCGTCACGAATGTGAAATGTCGTGGTGTTCATTACAGCGCATGCGTATTAAACGGGGCATTCACGTGCTGAACAATACACAATACTTTTGGGGGCAGTCGGAGAGCATCTTCTTCTAAATAATATTCAAGTAGACTAGCCGCTGGTCACATTATTAGTGGCTACATTATCAGCTGGCGAGATGAAACAATATGAGTATAATAAAATATTTTCACTTCCAGCATCATGGCGTTTACTAGTTCGTGCGTGCACACATCTCTGAGCTCGTCCTTGTTGATAGAGAGAGGAAGAGAGAGAAATAAGCAGCGCTACACGTGTGAGCTTTTTTTGCTGTCCAAGTTGTACTTTAAGCTGCAAAAGACAATTCAAGTTGAAAGAAAACCTACTAGCCCGACTCTCAATTAAGCCTACATAGTGCTGAATACCATAATCTTTCACCTTCCCCTTGGTCCGGTGGGTCAAGTTAAGGGGCAAGCTTAAAAGCTGAGCTTCCCATTGTGCTCGTGTCCACCGCTTTATTCGTCGCCACTTCGCAAGCTGCCACTATCGATCCAAGTTACCGTAAGCAAGCCTGATCAGGCTTATCGGGGACTAAAGCGGACCCTTTTTTTCGCGCTTCCAGAGAACACTAGCACATTAAAGAAGATTCGTAACATTCATCAGCTCACAGCAGCTTCGACAAAGCAGCGGTGACGATATTCATTTTCGATCAAAGAAAATAATTTTCCCGAAGCAGCAGATGATTTCACCAGTCCATCAAAAGTTTTGCTCGTTGGCATCCGTAACTGTGTATCAGCCAGTCACAGCAGAACGAAAGCGCGTACAAGTTATGCAATGTTATTGGGCCTCTGTTCAGCGCTGGCCTGCTCTGAAATGCAACAGCTCAAGGCGCGAAAGTGCCGCATAGGCCGCCCGCACCGCGAATAGCCTACATGGAAAATCGTCACAGCAAAAAATGTTGGAGAAAT